CAAAGTCGAGATATTCCAACATAGTGGTGTTTGAGCTCTGAGCTGCCGCTTCATGACATCACAAATGTGCTTTATCTGGTTAAGATCCGGATCTGCATAGCTTTCGGCTAGTAGTTATTTAGTTTGAGTTCAAACTGAATTAGCTACTTTGAATTCTTGCGATAAATGCTGGCTGATTCTTGCCATAAATGCTAAGCACTAGGTGTGCCGCCTTCTGTGAAATGGTTTTGTACACCCTTCTTAAGTTTCTGTTTTCATCTTAGACATAGCGATATGTCGCTTACAGTATTATTGAGGATTTGCCACAACTTACATTTAGTAAAAGTCAATTCACTACATATTAATTAAGCAACTACAAGTCTAACTTAGATGCCAGAATTCTTCAAAATACAGTTCAAAAAGAAATTCCATGGAAAGCCAAATCTGTAGGAAAATTAAAGGACTGTATAATTTGCAAGTCTACAGATTTGGAAAACCAAAATAAGTTGCAATATTAATAAGTTGCTCATTTATATATATTTCAATTTGGAAGATAAATTGAAATTTAGCTTAGTAGGACGATGCTTCATCCCTCTACCATTAGGATTAATCGGTTCTGCCCACGTCCGCCCATGTCTAGTATTTATTAATAATTCTTAAATTTTTACATTGCCATATATTGTGAATATATATATATTAAAGTCTATACAATAATTGTATTTCCACATTATTAACACTTTCCGGCACGCTACCTTTTCAAGTTGGAGTTTTGATTAAAAAAAAAAAAAAAGAAAGAAAAGAAAAAGAAAAGAAAAGAAAAAAAAAAAAAAATGGTAGGCAGTCTAATTAGGCCCAGAGGAGTACACAAATAAAATTTTGTGAAGATAGCACTTATCGTTTAATTCTGTGGGTGTGCCCAAAGTGGCACACTGGTTGAATACAGCTTCGAAAAGAGTACTGAAACGAGCATTGTTGTCAATGAACTGACGGGTGAGATGCGGAGAAATAAAGAACACACACTCTCAGTTGTCCTAGATTATCGGTGAGCCCGGTCTGGGCACACCTAGGGTTCGCCGTTTGATTTTAGGCAAGATTTCAAGGTAAAAATTTAAAATTAATATACCATAAGGAGATTAGCATACAGCCAAAAAAATAACATAGAAATTTCTTTTCAAACAATTCCTTTTATACCCTAAAAAAATATTGAAGATTTCTTTGAAAAATGAGGGTCTTAAAAAACTAAATATCGCTAAAATATATGGACTGGTTTGTGTTGAGCTGCCATCTACTGTAAAGAAAGAAGGTTCAGAGTGACCTATAGTAACCTATAAATCCTTTTTCATTCAATTTTTCTGTGCGTACAGAAGGAAATTTTTAGGTGTGTCCAGACCGGACATACTGTGCCGCAAAGGGTCAACATAACTTATTAGATACATTTTGGTTGGATTATTGTCTCTAATGAATTTCTTTCTTTTGCAGTTTCTTTTTATTTTTAAGCAGTCTATATATTATTTTTTTTATCGTGAAGTTTCTCTTTTGTTATTTGCACCATTTCAACTAGAATGGTGTCTAAAGAGATGTTTTTTTAGATGAGAGGTTGGTCATGGGATATCTATAATTCTGCGTCTCTAGAACTGCCAATTCGAAAGCCCCCACAGAATATGAATTACGCATTGGCAACACATATAGAATCGCGTGGATGATAAATTGCATGGTAACGTAATGTAACGTAACGGGGAAAACAACTTTGGAAGCATTCCGCTCAAGACTTTTCTAACGTCAAAATACCTATCAGTTTTTATGGAAATGCATATTCTCCTTTATCTGAAAACTTTTATTGAAACCTTATCGGCGCATCACTCTTCAGTACTTTAAAATAAAAACGTACTTTCTGTATGGAAAAAAATGCTTAGAAACGTGATCGGTGCATGATTATTACATCATCTGCAAAGCGATAATATTAAATGACCTTAGCACCGTCGTTATCTCAGGCGAAGCAGAATGTTTCCTCGTTAATTGCTGTTCATTCACGAAATAAACCATTGTTTGTCTGAGAAACCACCAAGTGTTGTGAAGTTTGTTCAGTCCCTTCTTTTGCTCTTTTACAGGTATTATTTTAATTAGTTCCTTTCATGCTTCCTGTTTTTTACCCCCCGCTTGTTTCTAAAGAGCTGCTTTTAAATAATACACTTCTTTTCTTTAGTTTATTATATTTCACGTATATTGCTTAATAACCGACTAAATCCAGGTACAATATTATTTGCACTTTAATAGTTTATCAGTATATTTCGAACAGTGTCAATTATAATTCTTCGAATTTTTATTCAAACGTTTACAAACTAAACAGATAGTCTTAAAAATTTTTTAAATAAAATTTAAAATTGTTTTTCAAAAATATCGGATTTGAAATTTGTTAAAAATTTTTGAATATCGTGAATTGCAAAAATAAACACCCAGAACATTAATCATGGTCGTGAGTAATTTCTAAATTGCATTAGCAAATGACAGAGATAGATATAGAGTAACATATCAGCTTAAAAAGCTAACCAAAACTCTACCTTACAATATTATTCATTTTAAAGAAATCATTCTATGCGTTTTGAAAGAATCAAGAATCTCACAAAGGTGTCTCTTATTTGTGTCGTCATACACTAACTTTTTTTTTTTTGACTGGATGCTAAACTTAAATTCATCCGTATTTAAAGTTTAATAAATTACAATCATAGATTAGCTTTAATGCGGGAGAAATGATAAATAGAGACTGGAGACTCCGATCTCTCTTTCTTTAGGTGCACCAATGGTTGAACGGCTGAATCGCGAATTATTATTATTATTACCATTTACGTGTTCCGTCCTAAGGCACTACACGGAAGGGAGGAATGCCTTCGTGGAGGACTTTCTAAGGGAAACAATCTCGTATTAACACGTTACGCATGGGGAAAACCATGAAAACGCCCATGCTGCCAGGTCATTCGTGGGATTCGAACCTCGGACCGAACTACCAGCGTTCAGGGACTTTACCGCTCTGCCGCTGGTGGACCTGAACTGTGAATTAAGATGGAAACAAGAAATCTTTACTTTTTTACTTGAAAATAATATTTTTGGTATCTTGAGGTATTGCACTAGCGCAGGGTTTCTTAAACTGTAGATCTCAAAAAATTTTAGCAGTATTGATATTTCTTTAAATTATTTTAATAGTTTTACAGTTGCCAAATATTTTTATACAATGTATCTGAAAAATAATAAAGATAAGGCAATAAAGACAAAGAAAAAAACGGAAACGTTTCGATTCCTTCTTTTTATAACATAAACGTTTATTTTCCTTGCTTTGCACGTGACACTGTCATTTCGTCTATTACTTATTAAAATTTTCACATTGTTCTATATCTCAAAATTAGAAAATAAGTTAATGAGACCTAAAACTGCAATAGTATATTACAGTGTAAGTGAAAAAATTGACAGTTTCACTGACGCGTGAGTCGGATTTGTGCAATACTTATGGTGTCCCACAAAATTTTTGTAAATAGTATTATGGGATCCTGGGGGTCGCGAGTGAAAAATGTTTAAGAAACCCTGCACTAGCGGAATCCTATACATAAATAATCATGGGTGTTTAAATACGGAACATTAGCTTTGCTATTACAGTTTTAATTACTAATTACAATTTTAATCAATGTTTACAAATTTAATTATTAATTACAAGTTTAATTACTATTTACAATTTTAATTACTAATTACAATTTTAATTACTAATTATAAGTATAATTCAGCTTTGCTATTACAATTTTAATTACTATTTACAATTTTAATTACTAATTATAATTACCTGTTTATTTCACATGACAACAGCTACTACGTTATTAATTCTTCATTTTATGGAACGTTTTTTTCCGAACCAAAGAAAAGCAATGCTAATATAACGGCTGTACTTTTTACTTCCTTGTACGAAGAAAAGGGAGTATTGTAATCGAAAAAATTTCGGGCATCATATTTCAAAGAAATTATCTATTTCGACGCTCTCGAAACCCATTTGAACGATTCTTTTTCGTGACATAGATATGTAGGAACAGAATAAAACATTATTTTTTCCAAAACGGATTGTGTAATGAATTTAAAATTGATTCAGAACGTGTTTTTTTTGTGACGTCTGTATGTTGGTATGTATTTCGCAAAACTCAAAAACGATTAGTCGTTGAACGCTCAAATTTTGTATATATATAGATATATTTGGTATCTATATACATACAAAACTGCATATATATACATAAACTCACCCCTTACCCGGTTCCTTGAGTTGTATGTTTTTCGTCTTATATTTTTAGTAAACAACTGTGCTTTTTTTTGCCTTAAAAATGATTGAATTATTTTGTTCTTATGTTCCGGTTAAAATTTATATGTCTTTAGTTAATGTACACGGAATAGTTGTAGAATTATCAGGAATTTAAAAGTTTAAATGGCGCTGGGGCTAAATAGACCGCCACGTTTTTACATTTGAAAATCTTAGTAGAATCTTATTGTGCTAACTTCTTTTTGCCCAGTGGTACCAAAAGTTAATTTATACATTTGTGCATCAAATATTTTTCCATCCCGGAACCCCTGATCCATGTCCAATCCATTCTACTATCAACCCCGAATCGAACTCCCAGTGATCCCTTTAAAATTTCATAAACATGAACTGTGAATGGAGTGAATACCGACCTCTCTTGGATCTCTGATTTAAAGCTGTCTTACTTTAGTAAAATCCATGTCAAATTTTCAAACAAGACTGAAAGTGTTACTGTCATTGAAAATATTCAATCAGTGTGCCACTTTGGGCACACCCGCAGAATTAAACGATAAGTGCTATCTTCACAAAATTTTACTTGTGTACTCCTCTGGGCCTAATTAGACTGCCTACCTTTTTTTTTTTTTTTTTTTTTTTTTTTTTTTTTTTAATCAAATCAAAATTCCAACTTTAAAAGGTAGTATGCCGGAAAGGGTTAAATAAAATCTTGTGATAACAAGTTAATATTCCTTTTTAGCGCAAGTTACACGACATGAGGATAGCTATCATTGGACAGAGCATCTTCGCCAGCAGCGTCTACAAGCAGCTGAAAGAAGATGGCCACAAGATTGTTGGAGTTTTTACTATACCAGACAAGGGGAAAAGAGAAGACCCACTGGGTAAACACAGCTTTCATAATTACTAACATCTTTTAAAATAGGCTGTACACTTTTACAATATTTAACTTCTTCTTTAGAGGTATATGATCCCGTAATTGCTTTAACACTAGATTTACGAGAACTGTCAGTTTGACGGATTTCGGACTTCATGAGCAAGGTTACAAATACTATTATTTTTATAGTTTTTTAATTTATGTTAACAATTATCGATGTGAGGAGATGAATACATACCCAAATATATTTCGCCTTCGGCCTTTTAATTTCAGAGTTCTGTATTATGTATACCTATCTCTATGGATGCTCAGCAAAATATAGTGGGTAAGCTAGTTTCAGTTACATTGTGTTATTGTGCTCTGCATCTGTCCATTTGCATAAAGTGTTACCAAATTAACACCTTTTTTGCTAGACACATAAAATCTCGGACATTTCTAAAGCGCGAGAGACTATCTATCGGAAATTTTGAAGCTATGCTGTTATTAAATATTTTTATCCCGAAGGGGCATTAGTCCAAATGCTTTCGAAATGTGTATGCGTGTACATATGAAAAAAGCCTTTTGGGGCTTAATATCGAGTCTGGAAGCTCTCAGATACCTTTTTCAGTAATAATTTTATAAATTGTTTTTGTTATTTTCTAATCTAAACGTTTTATTTTCTATCTAGCATCAATTGCCAGTAAAGACGGCACAGCTGTTTTTAAAATACCAAGATGGAGGCTCAAAGGTCAGCCAATCAAGGAAGTTATAGACCAGTATAAATCCGTGGAGGCAGACTTGAATGTGTTGCCATTTTGTACACAATTTATACCAATGGAAGTTATCAACCATCCGCGTCATCAGTCTATATGCTATCATCCATCGCTTCTACCGAAGCATCGAGGCGTTTCCTCAATTAATTGGTAATCTATTTTACTTAATTTATTCTGTGACATTAAGCTTTTAAGGAATTTCTCCCGCCTTCTTGGCATGCCTTCGTGGTGTGGTGGTCTGCACCCTCGGCGCGTATTCCAGAGGTCTGTGTTTCGATTCCCGGCAAAGGCGTTGCTAATTTTTCAATTCTTCTGGTTCCAAAAATATGCCTAATGTCTCTACAAGCTTATTAAAAACCCACCGTAGAAAACTCACCAATGGCAACAATCATTATTGGCTGTACATATTAGTGTTAATACCAACCTAAAGGAGTACTTCTAAACTTTTAAAAGAGTTGGATTAGGTGTCATTAAGTTATGGTACAGTGGCATTACCTAGTCAGGATCTAGCCGCCCAATCGGAACAGTGGTTAGCGATGTTGACTGCCGAACCGGAAGGCCCAGGTTCCAATCCCGGAGAAGGTACGGATGTTTGTAAATGTATAGTGTCTGTGTGTCATGGGAGGCACTCTAAATATGCGGTGCAGTCGAAAATCCTCTCGAGAGGTTGGTGATAGCAGAATAGGTGTCCTCGACTCGATGCGACCCTCGGACTTCCCTCCCCGAGGTGCTCTCCATCAAAATTGGGGGCGGAAGTGAACAAAGTCACACTGTCTCCTGTAGGGTGCTCAATGCTGTTGCCAACGATAGGCACAATCTTGCACTCCTCACCATGATGAATTTCGTGGGCTTGTGCTGATGTTACTGTCAGACAAGTGACGTAAGTCACATCACGGCACTACGAATCTATCAGACAGTAGCTTTGATAAGTGCCACCCCAGCATGAAAGATGCAATACCAAGGTCAAGCCACAGAGTAATACCAAAATCAACCCACAGAGGTAACCCACAGGCCATAAATCACCGTACCAGAATACCCACAGGCCGTTGATTTGCCACAGTACCACAGGGCATTGATCGCCGTACCACAGTACCACAGGCCATTGATTGTACCCAAGGACATTGATTACCGTACCACAGTTCGGTGATCAATGGCCTTAGGAGTGCCCTTCAGTATTGGATGTTGGAAACATCCCCAAGGAATCTCTCCAAAGTGTCTTTCGATTGCTAATTACATAAATTTATATTGTGATATTTATCTTGTTAAATATCATCGAAATTTGTCATATAAAACACTTTTTTGGAACTTATGTAACATTATGTTACAGTTACATTAACTATAAGGCATTTATCATCCACCAGCTTTGGGGAGTATTGCCACACAAGGAATATGCAATATCACACCTTTGTGCACATCAGCCCAGAGGTTAACCATGGCCAGCGACCTTAGCTATTACCTGTGTCCCTTTTTTTATAATTCTGATATTAGAAACTTTCTTAGGAAATATTTAAAGAACTTTAACTGTTACGTTACGATACAACTGTGCTACATTACACTAGCATGCAATTATCATCCATGCAAATTATCAAATGTTGCCATTGCGTAAAGCATAAAATCTCCAATTTATCTTTCGTGTGGCTTCTCAAATGGCTAGTTTTCAGAGAACTGCCATTCATCAAAGCATAAGATCTGTAATTTATCTTTTTAATTTAATCGCTCTGAGATAATTAAACAAATTGAGAGACAGGAAAACAATAAACATTTTTTAAAAATAATTTCTGCTCATAACACATTGGTGACCCAATAACCGTTTTCGGCTAGGTTATACCCCAATAACCTAGCCCAATACGTTGATCACCAGTTACCTAGTGTGACTAGTACTAGTGTCACCAGTTACCTAGTGACACTAGTTACTTAGTGTTGATCAACTGTTTGTGCGTTATCCAATGTTCTTTGGTAAAACTTTGTCTAATTATCTATTGAAGTTTTCCACATCGCTCTCGAGGGGCGGTACGGGGACCACAAACCGGTAATCAACGCTCTTAGAGGTCAGCTTCTGTTTATTCTTAACTGAGCATTTTTATTGATACAATTTCAAACTTAATTAATTTGTAACATACCCAACTAATAAGTTTTTGTAACTGTTTTCCGTATGGCTTTAATTGATATTACGTGGTGTTTCTACTACAATTTACTATTTATTGACGGAGAGTTGTCTGGGTCTGCTTTTATTTTAGCGTTTGTATTTGTGTTTTATACATTACAGGACTCTGATAAGAGGAGACAAAAAGGCTGGATTATCAGTATTTTGGGCAGACGACGGACTCGACACTGGACCCATATTACTTCAACGAGAGTGTGATGTGGACCCAAATGACACCGTTGACAGTTTATACAACAGGTTTCTGTATCCGGAAGGGATCAAAGCTGTGGTACTATTTCTTTAAAATGAATCTAGTATTTGTTAAATATATTATCGAAAGAAATGCAAAGCTGTAAAGTTTATTATTAAAATTAATTTCCGAAAGTTCGTTGGAAATCAGTGTATTTTAAGTTTCATTCCGGCTTAAAATACAACAAAACTTCAATATTTGTTTTGAATAGGACATAGCAATTCGGTTAATTCAACACTATGGGTAACTGGGACTGCGCCACTGCTGTTCAACGTAAACGACTTAACTTAATTACTTACGCACTTAACTTCAATCATGCCATTAGGTAACCATTATCTCGTTCTAAAACTAATGAAATAGATGTAATTGGTACTAATGTACAGTAACAATACAAGCCAAAACTAATGAACAGTAGCGAAGTCATTTCTTGTCGAACCATTCTCTTATCCAGTTTGTCGAACTGTTTCCCGGGTTCTTACATGTGCCATAAGCATACAAGGGTCATCTACAAGTCCCTGCCTTGCACATCTGTATCAAAATATAAGTTAATGATTTAGAAGTAGTATTGAACCATCATAGAAAAATTCTAAAATTGTACTAAATGTAATATGTATTAAATGCATTATGTAAATGTAATACATAGATAGAAAGATATATAGATATTATTTATACTTTTATTTCATAAAAGGGAAAGAAACAGAATATAATAGAACTCAATAAAAGGAAAAAGAAAACCTGGAAACTATTGTTTCTGAACCTAGGAAAATTATTCTGTCTAATAATCTTGGCAACAATGTATATGTTATCTTTCATTCGAGGATTTTTAGATCTACCTATTTGTGTAAGAATATATTCAATTCTTATATTTGTTTGACCATTTTGCTTTAAAAATCCATCATCACCACTAACCCTGTACCGTGGTTAGCTTCACGAATAGTCTATAATCAATTTTGTTATCAAAAATTGCAAATATTGGTAAATTAGCTCCAGGAAAAATGTTCAGATTCCGGCATACCCATAAGTAATGTTATTTCTTGAACTAAGTTTCGAGTGAATAAAAAAATGAATAAAATTCTTATTTTGTTGAGACATTAGGTTAATTGGAAGTAGAAGAGATGAAAACTGAGCAACGCCTTCGCCGGGAATCGAACCACGGACCTGTGGAATACGCGCCCAATGTGCTGATCACTACACTACGGAGGCATGCTAAGAAGGCGGTAGGAATACCTTATATACTCCTCCTTTTAAAGGGCGACTGGGGTTTGGGGGAATCAATCGCCAAATCCTTGTGGTGGAGAATCATCATTCACCACTGTTTTTAGTTCGGGCGTCACTCTAGAGACCACTACACTACGAAGGCATGCTAAGAAGGCGGGAGAAATAACTTATAGCTTTTAATACTGTGAGGGATTTTGTACATATGTAAATAATTTTAGTCAAATTATATCTGAAATCATAGTTTTTTTTTATATAGTGTACCATGAATATATAAAAAAGCTAAGCTTTGTCGGAAAAGTAAGAAAGGATATAGCGGCAAGTCTATTTAACATTAAGTAAATGCCTATCTCGTTAAATTGGCGAGATATCGCCAAGCTAGCGATAATGTTGGTGACACATCGCCAAAAGTAGCCAAACATGGCGATCATTTGGGGTGTTAGAATGGGTATCTGTGCATTTGGGGTATTAGAATGAGTATCCGTGTATAACTGTAATGTGTATTGGAACTCCGTATAACTGTAATGGCTAACATTTGGCAACATTTTGTATCCCTCTATAAGTATAACGGGTATTGTAACTGAATAACTTTAATTGATGCCATATGTAGCTGTAACCGCATCAGGCCCTCATATGCCTTCCAGTGATTTCCAGTAGTCGAAGGTGCTAGAAATTTCTCGGCGAATAAACTATACAAGACCGTTGGAAGTATCAGTTTCTGAGGAGTAGTTGTTTAGCTTTTCGTTGAGTTCGGAGTATTGAGATATCTCCATGTTAGCTTCGCTCTTTCGATGCGCTTTGCATAGCGTTGTGTTTGATGTTCTCAGTAGTTTTGAAGTGTAACTACTGATTGTAATTTATGATACTGTGAACAGCCTGTACGAATATTTTATGTAAAGTTTCAGAACTGTAAACTGTTTAATTTGGTAAAATAAATTTTATCAATCTATCATCGGTTCTGTGCGCATTCAATCGCTTACGAACACAAGCGCATATAAAAATACCTTTGATCAGTTTAGAGTTATTAGACATCTTAGAAAGTTCCGCCATATCATTGTCTTTGTAGCATTTATGCTAGTATATATTGCTTGACATTTGCTTATTTCCAGAGGCGTGATATGTAGAAATTAAACGCTCTTTCTAAAATACAGGTTGAAGCCGTCAAGATGGTTGAAAACGGAACAGCTCCCAAAATACCCCAAACTGAAGAAGGCGCCTCATATGAGCCAGCTCTCAACAAAATAGAGCAATGCATGGTATTTAACCTTATATTATTTCTTTTATGCATTAAGTTTTTGCCTGAATTCGTTTTTGGTGACTTTAAAAAGTCTCTACCAGAGTCTTTATTACAAAATTCATGAATCATCCATTATCTTATATTATGCTACCTCGTACAAGAGGCTGTTCGCTCACTTTTTCGACGACTTTGCTTTGCTATAAAAAAGTCGCCTGCTTGGAAAATTTATTTTTAACTGCAGCTATATTTTTGAAAGTGTACACTGCGCCACAAAAGAAAAAAATGGGACCGTTCTATATCTCCCGTTTTACTGGGCCGTTTGACAAAATTCAAATTGCGCTTTTTCATGTCTCGAAAGCGTGACATAGGATATATATTAGATTTATATATAGCATTGTTCTAACATAAATATTTTGACACAAAATCTGAATTTTTCTGAAAATTTTGTGTCAAATATCTATGTTAAATTTTCTAAACTTTTTCTGAAATAACATACGAATTTGTTTCCATATTTCGATTCTACGACTCAAATTATGCCTAAAGATTAAATTTTGTAAAGTTTAGTGCGAATTTTACGGAGAAATTCAAAAATTTATCTTGGCGCAAACTGAAAAGAATTGCGCTTATGTACAAAAAAAATTTTTTTTTTTTTTTTTTTTGATGAAGAACATATCTGCGCAGAGAAAACTGCTGCGCTGTTTTTAAATTTAAAGTTTGGTGTTCCCTTTAGGCATTTTCCCGGTACATTTAAAAGCCAGACGAAGGCTGTCTGCGTAGCTGCTAGTTAAGAATAAAGTCAAGCGCATTTATTGATTTAAAATCACTCAATTTCTTGACCAATGCAGATAAATTTTCAAAACTGTAAACTATGAATAGGTAAACTGTGAAATAAATTGAACAGTCCCTACTCGTGTCAAATCGAAATAATCTGGAAACCTGCATTATGCAAATCCGTGTGGAAAATAAAATAAAAATCTGAAGTCTAGTGAAATGCTCACCAATAGCCTGGTCACGTGAGTGATAAATTACAGACATTAAGTGATAACAGAAACTGGAAAAACTCACAGACACTTCTAGCATTCATTATATCTTACGTTTTATTTTGTTAATCTAAGGCATTTCTGAAAAGAACATCTCATATGGCTGAATGATCTTGCTATTATAACTTTAATCAACGTTTTATAATTTAAACACATGTTAATAATTTATTGATTTTTTTCGCAGATTAAATTTAATGAACTGACAGCAAATGATCTCCATAATTTTATTAGAGGCATGGATAAAGTTCCTGGAGCCTGCGCAATTATAGACAAACAGGTAAGTGCATCTGATTTATCAGAATTACTCTTTCATCCTATTTCTGGGAACGACTGCACGTTATTTAATAGCATATTTGTTTTAGAACAGTTAGTTTTAGGTATACAAATGGAAGCTACAGTACGGGAAAAGAAAATGTCACTTCTATATATGTTCCGTTGCGATTTGTCAATCACAAAATTCAACTTGTGCTAGTGTCTGAAAAGCGTGGCTTAGGATATACGCAGTATCAAAAGTCTACACGAGATCATCAAAACAAATTTTTTGCATTTATATTGGTAATTTAAAAGGTAAAGAAGTAAATAAATGCATCGTAATAAACTCCTGAGGCATAAATTTATATCTAATAAAGAAAATAAACCCTAGTTCGTTGAGTTTCAACAAAATTAATTTAGAAGTGAAACAACACAAGTCAACGTTATATTTTCAAATTTTCACAGGACTAGTTTCGATGCTTTTACCAAACCATCATCCATCCTCAGCTACAGAAGCGCAAATGAACGAGGTAAGATATAGTGATTAGATAAGATAAAAAAGACTGGACAGGAGTTAAGCTACTGGCGCCATCTGTTACTGAAACGAGAACTAAAACATAATTTCCTTAAAGGCAAAGATGGATTGGAATTAGGGTGGTTAACTAGAACAGAAAAATTTTTTTGAATGTGAAATGCCTCTATAAAATGCAATTCACCAATGGAAGATGTTTTTTTGAATAATTTTGGCTGCAGAAAAATTGAAAGTGTGATTTTCGGACCAACAATGTTGGGTAACAGAAGACTTCTGTGTTTCCTTTTTTCTAACATATGCCTCATTATCTTTAAAGCGAAATTTTAAGACTGTCTTAGTTTGACCAATGTAAATTAAACCCCACTGGCAAGGAATCCTGTAAATACGGCAGGAATTCATATCCGGAATGGGGTCCTTGAGTCAAGGGGCCCCCCGGCGTGTTATTGTATCTTAATTTCAACAAAATATTACAAAAAATCGATAATTTGCGTGTTACAAAAGTATAAATATAGCGAAAGAAATAATTCATTTACTTAAATTAATAAAAAAATGATGTTAATACCGCATTGGTTCACCTTTTACATGTACCAGTGCGTAAAGTCTGTCTGGCATCGATAGAACCAAGTTTGTTGTCGTATATGATATGTTTTCAGAACATGGCTCGTTCAGTTCCACTCTTCAGAGCTTCTTTCTTTGTAATAATATGCTGGCTCACTCCGCTAGTGTATTATTACAAGGCAATCAAGTTCATCCTATATTCGTTTTATAGGATTTAAGTCTGGTTACTGAGGTGGTGAATGCATTTGATTGAGTACTAATCACTGTTGTATGACTTATCTCACTTTTCTGACACTAACATCAGAACAAGGTCACGGTCTTCATCGTGGAGAAGAGTCCAAGATTACGCCCTCATCGGCAAGACTCTTGAGCACCATACAGTACGACTTCGCTCAGTTCAGCCCCTAATTTTGATGGAGATCACTCCAGGAAGACGGGTCCGAGGATCTCCCACCCTTCTTTCACTGCCACGAAACTTTCGAGAGGACTTTCGGCTCGCCGCATACTTAGAGTACCTGCATGCCGCACGGACAATAATTCAGAAACTTTCATGCCTTCTCTGGAATTCAAATCTAGGTCTTTCGGTACCGCAGTAGACCCCTCCTAACCACTATACCGCCTGGACGGGGGTTACTTTCCCTAACAATTCTTAACAAGCTACTCCCTAATAATAGTTATGCTTTGGGTCATTATCTCGTTGAAAGACCAAAATGCTTCTTAGTCCAAATTTTTTCAACAGATGATTGCTGGTGGATTACCTAGTAATAATTTCAAGTGCGTGAACTGATCTATAGTGAACACTATGATGTACTATATAGTAAAAACTATGCTATCCTATGAAAACTAATTTATCTGCTCCAAACGCTGCCATTGAACCCGAAACCATGACGCTGCCTCCACCATGTTTAACAGTTCGCATCAAATTCTCTAGTTTAATTTTTTTACTTTTTCGTCGCCAAATCTTTCCATGACCATCGCTTTGGAAACATTGAACTTATTTATCCCTAAAAAGCAATTTCTTTCAAAAATTTTAAAAAAGGTCTTTGTTTATGTTAATCTTTATGTATTTGTATATGTTCTTTGTTTATGTTTTTGTTTATGTATTTAATTGCAAAATCTAGTCGTTTTCCCAATTTTAATCTGAGATCAGAGGTTTTCTTGTGTGACCTCTGCCACTAAATCCGCTGACCGAAGAATTTTACGCTTAGTTTCTGGACTGACCTTTTTGTTCAGTTAATTTTAGAGGGCTTAAATTTAGATTTTTTTTTTTTTTTTTTTTTACTTTTCCTACAAGAGTTTTCCTTGGACGACCATTCCCAGATTTGTTGAGCACATCTGACTTGTAATTTTCAATTATGGCCTGTACAGTTGCAAAACCTGTACCGATATTTTCAAGCTACTTAAGATTTCTTTTCATGCTGTAGCTTCACAAGAAAGTTTCTCACATCTGAGGGCATTTTTTCAAACAACCATCTCATTTGTAAAAGAGAAAGAAAATTCTAATTTTCACGCTTGATGCCCTTATAAATCCAAAAGGGAAGAAAAAGTTGCCTATGCAAATTTAGTTAAGAACCAGTGCCTATTTTGGAGGAAATATTTTTTATCTGTAGTGTTTTATATATTTATTTTATTAGAAAAGTTGGTTAATTTTCCATAATCGGGGTGAGCGCCAAATTTGGCGAGAGTTTTTAATTTGGCGCGATTTTGATTTGGTTGTGGTTTCCGCTTGTATGTTTTCCTGTGGCAAACCTTGAGTTTTATATCGGTGATTGATTCTGCCAAAAGATTTTTATTAGTGCAAAGGGGCTTTGTCCCTGAAGGACTATTGTTTTCGTTTTGCGATTTTGCGTCGAATCACTATAAATGTCCATTTCACTTTTCAAACTGTTGCCACCCAAAGATAGAGTCCTGCATTATATTTGAAGAAATTAAATAATGAAAAATCTGCATACTGTATGTCTATTTCTCGCATTGTGATAAAACAACGATAAATAGAGCCATCGAATTTTGAGTGACGTAATCGTCCTACTAATATGGGCATGTGGAAGACCCAATTTGAAATTTAGAATTTGTTTTATGATCGATTTCATATTTTGTAAAACTTTAAAGAATTTTTGATTAACAAACTCAAGGATTTCAAAGCGAGCACTCTACTGGGGGGGGGAGACCTTTTTATCTACAGCGCGCGGAGCTGTGTATCGGAAATTCTAAAGATAGGCTCATTTTAAAATTATTTTGCGACATTGCTATTGAACTGAATTTTATGGTTTAATTGAACTGAATTTTATGGTTTAAGTGCAAAGAACATAATATTTAATAAATAAAGGTAACACACAAAACGTTAAAAAAACGCCCCTTTGGAAGTAAATTTAAAATCTGAAATCTTTCAGATTTTTTAAAATTTAATTTTGAAATACTGTGTTTGTTTTAAAAAGTTTTATTGTTTAATATTTGCAGGAGGTTAAGCTGTTGTTGGTGGGAGAATGTTGGATTTCAAATGACGTAAAGTTTATAATGTATGAATGTTTTCATTTAATTTAGTATATGTTTTCCGGGGTCAGTTAATTATTATTTTTTTAGCTTTGTTTCTTGCACGTGGCAATCGAAAGATGTGGAATGTGTAAAGTTCTGAACGAAACTTATTTAGCGTTTTGAATTCCATAACGATAGTAACTTGTCTATTTTAGTGAGTTTATGATGCATACATTGTTAGTGAATTTGAATATATTTACTTGGTTGACAATTTTGGAGTCTGAGGAAAGTTTCATAAATTTTATTATTTTATTATTCATTATACTGTTTTATCATGAATTATATAGATAGGACTATGTTTTTACTTGCAAAGCTGATGGACTTTGTTTTACTCATGTAGTATTTTATCACTTCCTTTTACTTTTCTGTTTACATAAAATAATGGCGTTTCACTACTGAAAAACTTAAAGGTTACTATTCTGTTTACGTTTAAAAATCACATCTTAGTACACTTATTGCCGGCAAAAAATTCGCCAAATTTTGGAGGCCAAAATAGTTTGGCGCCAACTTACCCCGCTTATGGAAGATTAGCCGAAAAGTTTAATAATAAGATATTATGCTATCATAAGAGACTATGTTATCATTATTTTTTATGTTTTATCACACGTGGGAAGTTTTCTTTGTAAACGTAGAAAGTTTTACTAAATTGTTTATTTTTAGTTTAAATTAAATTATTTTATGATTAATTAAAATTACATTTTTTTAAAAATAAATATTAGTGGGGCATGTTAGTCTACGAATTCAATACTTATCTATCAATGTATTAGAATTACAAGTGTGCAACTTGGGTTTGAAACCATTGCTATAGAATATAAATAAAATCATACGCATATATGATATGACAGAAAGCATAATAAATGATCTTAAGTATGGACTAGCAACAACGTGCTTTCGTGTTTATGTTCTGTATTTGTAATAGACAAAATTTTATTATAAATGGTAACAATAACAGCTCTTCGAAGCAAAAGGTTAAAAAAATTAGATTGTGCATAAAAAATATCACAACTTATTAAATATATGAATTTTAATTTGTACTTTAAACCTCTGTCTTTGTAATTAACTAATTTTTAATTTCTCTTCAGTTTCCAAGCAATTTATATATTGACATACAAAATGTTTATTTTGTCGTCTACGCAGACTGTGCGCTTATATGGTTCAACAATATGGGATCAGGATGTGCCCGAAGGACGAGAATGTTCTATTGAAGGATTAGTCTCACCTGGAATTATTCACTCTGATGGTTTGATTTTGCGTGGATGTGACGGTAAAACAGTAAGTGAAACATTAAAGCAATCTTTAAGTGCTATAAATGCAGATTTTTCTCAGACTAGAAGTTTGGTGTCTTAGAACTGATTAAGAATGACTGAGAATTAAATGCCATTTGGCATTTAATTCTTTTGGCATTTAATTTCAGGCATAAAAATTTACTTGCGTAGTTTTCTATTCTTTCTCCCCAAGTTTCATGCTTGACAATCGAGGGGGGAAAATGTGTTGGTGTATGTAATATTTCTGGAAATATAGTGTCATTGCATTTTTTAAAGGAAAAGACGTGAAAAGTATGCAGTGCCCTCCCCAGAACTCGAGCCTATACCTCTCGAATACGTGCAGAGTGTGCTACCGTTACACCTCGAAGGCATGTTGGCATTAGGGAGAAATTACCTTATTTACATATACTCCCCCTTTTGCGAAGCTAAGTTTCTCTAGATTGGCGACAAATCCGCTATCCTGCTGTTTCAAATGTAAACAAGAGCAATGGCCGCCATCAAAAACATTACTAGGCTTAGCGGCACTTAAACAATTTTAAAATTGTTGATAATTCTAAAAATATTGCATACAGATTTACTAACGGCAAAAAACCTTAACCGGAAGATAAGAACAACATAATTCAATCATTTTTAAAGCAAAAAATGTACAATTTGCAAACATATAAGAGTAAAGAAACTGAGATCACTGAGGCGGGTAACAGAGTCGATATATATATAAATATATTTATATACGTTTGGTGCGGCCTATTGCCACCAAAATACGAGGTGCACATCTACATGTTATAGCAGTCCTATATACAAAATTTCAACGTTCTGAGGCTACTCGTTTTTGAGTTATGCGAGATACGTACGCACGTACGTACATACGTTCGTACAGACGCTACGAAAAATTCTCTTCAGAATTCTTTTAAAGCAGTTTATATTTTTTTGAGGAAAAGTGTTTTATTCTGTCTTACGTAATATCCGGAAATACTCGTTAATTGCATTGAAAGAGGTCAAAGGATTTCGTGAAATAGGCCTAAATTTCGCATTCAATACTTCTTTTTTCAACAAGGAAAAATGTAGAAGATTTTTTTTCAATGATTGTATAATCAACAATCCTGTCTAATACTCTAATATTCAACCTTAATCCAAACATTTGACTTGAATTATATACTTCCTCTAGAAGAAATCTATACCAGTCTACTTGATCTAACTAAACTCTTCCCTGATATGCTCAATATCATGACTCTTGACAAATGGGAAACCTACCTAAAATGCACACTTTTTCATAACTACATCAAGTTTCAAAATCAAATTTTTAAACAAGTCAGAGGATTGCCAATGGGCTTACATTCCAGCACCTCGATCTGTAATATCTTTTTATTTGTCAAAGACTTTAACTTCCAAAAAATCTACAACCACAAGAGTTAAATTACTACAAACACACCTACAGATATATTGATGACCTTATTACAATTAATAATTTTGATAAAATTGAACACTCCGAGATTTATCCGAATTGTCTTACACTTAATAAAACTAATAATTCACAAAATAGCATAGACTTTCTAGATCTTCAAATCATTAACTACAAAAAAATTTTACTTTTTGACAAAACAAGAAACTTCAATTTCAGTACTAACAAATTAATAAATTGGAACTCCAACATATCCAAAAAAGTAATTAACAATACTATAATTAATCAAATACAACGAATTAAAATTATATGGACAGATACAATAGATTTACAACGCGAAATTTTGCTCCTTATTAAAATTCTCAAAAATAATCTAATACCCATTCAATTTATCAACCATTGCCTTAAAAGAGCAGGCGTTAAATACTCACCCTAAATCATGTAACTGATAGGGATATGATAATTTGTTCCTAAACCTGAGAAGGCGGTATAAGTTGGATGACTATCAGTTGAAGGATTTGTATATAGTGTAATTACTCAATTGTATATATTGTAAAAACCTAATTGTCTTCAGACTCATGCTGTTACTATACTGTTACTAAAAAAATGGGCCTATTTCATGACTTTAGTCTGTCTAATAGCTCTTGGACAGTGAAAAATTCCTTTTTTCCTTTCTTAAATTCTTAATCATTGCGACACGACAATTAGCCAGAAATTAATTAATTTCCATTCACTAGTATTTTCAAAAAAATCTTAACAGACAGTTTCACTCAAATAAGAACTCCACATAATACATCCCTCAAGAATTCCGAGTCCAACCCACTACCATAAATTACTTCACCCAAGTCTTACCGACTGATATTATTCAAAGCCCCCAAAGAATTTTCGGACACCCAACACTTATGAGTCAGACATGAAGAGAATACTTTGCCAACTCCCCCACTAGAAAGAATGTAAGTTACTTAATACCTTTTCTGGCCTTTATATCTTCATGTACATTCACTGTTCTTATTATATATTATTTTTTATATTATTTTTATATTGTCTTTGATTTGTTTTTACAAACTTTGCATTATTTATCTTATTTTGTAATCTTCTATGTTTATTTCAACTTTACTTTGAATTCGATTTCATAATAACAATTTCCAATGTTTAATTTTTACAAATAATATAGAACTCAAATGCATAAACATGAAGGTGTCGGGGACGGTTACTCGGGTTATATCGGATTTCTCTACAGATTTTGCTTTTTACTCCAAATTGAATTGACTAAATTGCTTCATAAGAATAAGTTCTTTGAGTATAAGCATTGGATCATAATCCCTTCTATTCGCGGAGATATTTGGCCTGACTAGAATTGCCGGTTCGGCTTTAACTTATAACTCGAGTAAAGACGAAACACCTTCGTATTTACGTATTTTTATCAATTATTGTTCGTTGAATGGGAGTTGGTTTGTTCCCCTTGAAAAGTCAATTAATTTCCGATCAATGACAATGATTACATGGTTTTAATTTTCCTTTTACAATTGAAATTTTATTCTTCATGATGATTTAACTCTAGTCCCCATTATTAACATTTTGCATTTTAACATTTTGCTTTCAAATTACTTCAAAACATATTTCGAAATATAACTTACCAGTATGGATTCACTCTTTTAAAATAATTCTACTTTAATTAAACATAGGAGATAATATAATCAATTAATCAATATTGTTTAGGAAATAAATTATATATATATATATATACAATGTTTTTTTTTTCTTGCGAAGGAAAATTTCCGGAAAAAATGAAGTGAAAATACAATTTTAAAAAATAGTGTTTCGAAAAAATAGGAAAAGAATTCGCTTAGTGTCTTTTTGCCGAGTGAGACTAAAAGTAAGCTTTCAGTTTTGTGCACTAAAAAATCTGCTTTCTTGCCTGCCGGCGGAATTGCTTGTTTTTGCGTAGAAACTCTAATTTTAATTGTAATTAAAAAAAATTGTTTTAACTATATTTGGTATTTTATGTTTTTCTATATTTTTAAATCTTTAATGAAGATATTTTGAGGTTTTATGTATTTTTGCCTTGCCGCCAAGTTAGAACTGAATTAACTCAATGAGAAATATATCTCTAGTGAAATTCGAGGAAATAAGGTTAAATAAACTGCAGCAAAACTACGCATAATTTTTTAGTAGGTCGTACAAGGAAGTCATATGGTGTCCACATGAGGTTTTTAATATCACCAGACTATATTTTGTGCATTTGTATAAAGTCTGATTCTAAAAGAACATACGTATTAAAAATTCAAAATGCAACCAGTAGTACATGTATTAAGTTAGTAAAGATGTATACTGCTTTTGAATTTTATGCGTAAAAATAAGTAAAGAAACTAATTTTAAGGTTTTCATGTATACTTTTAAAATTATTTTGATTTCTTAGGTGAATGTTAAAAAGATCAAACTGGAAGAAACTGGTCGAATTATAAATGCTTCAAACTTTGGGGTTCAGATTGAGGCAAGTGAAGCAATAGATTTAACAGAAGAGGAATTAGCAGTTTCCGACAAAATTAAGGTATTGTTTTTGTAAGAAAGAGTGCATGCTTTATTCATGTGAGGAAAGGAAATTTTTTATACTAGAGTTTGAATTTTTTGCAGTTGATTTGGGATAGTATTTTGTCTGCAGAAGTGGATCAAGAAACTGACTTCTTTAAGAGTGGTGCTGGATCTATGGATGTTGCCAGGTAACGATACCATCATTTAACTTGTAATAAAAAAATCTGATGTGTGCACCACATGACTTCCTTGTACGTAATATTAAATTATATGCATTTTTTCTTGCATTTCATTTAAACTCATGAGATTGAATTAAATTTACTTCGTCGATAGAGCATAAAGCATAATAGAATAAATGCACTCTTTAAAATTTACTATATTTCTTTAGCATGGCAACACTCTGGCCTTAGGTTCACTTAACAGCATTACATTTCGTTCTTGTTTTAACTCAGAATGCAAATAATTATGTCATCTTAGAAATTATCTAATCGTTGCCACATGTTCTATTTAAATACTATAATAAATCTAAAACAATGTATAAGAGAAATTAAGCAAAGAACAGAAAAAAAAAGAAAGAAAGAAAGAAAGAAAGAAAGAAACAGTTTTTCACATACGATTCAGCATTTGTCATTCAATTAGTTCAGTTCTCACTTCGCAACAAGGCGAAAATACATAAAAACTCAAAATGTCTGTATTGAAAATTATGAAGTAAATCCTAAACACTTATTTCCTCGAATCAATTCCAGAATGGATTAAGCATGATTTAATTCGAAATAATAAAAATAGGCGTTATCTTTGTTATTGCGAAGCTTACTTTCTCTAGATTGGCAACAAATCTACTATTCTGCTGTTTCAAATGTAAACAAGCAATGGCAAAAATTATTAGGCTTAGCGGCACTTAAAAAACTTTTAAATTGCCGATAATTCTAAAAATATGGCATACAGATTTATTAAAGGCATAAAAAATTTAACCGGAAGATAAGAACAACATAATTAAATCATTTTCAAAGCAAGAAATGCGCAATTTACAAACATATAAGAATAAAGAAACTGAGATCACGGAGCCGGGTAACAAAGAGGATATATATATATATATAATATATATATACTTTTGGTGCGGCCGATTGCCACCAAAATACGAGGTGCACATCTACATGCTATAGCAGTCCTATACGCAAAATTTCACCGTTCTGAGACTACTCGTTTTCAGTTATACGAGATACATACGTACATAACGCACAGACGCCACGAAAATTCTCTTCAGAATTCATTTTAAATTAGTTTTACGATTTTTTTTTGGGGGGGGGGGAAAGTCCTTTATTCTGTTCTTATGTACAGATGTCACGCAAAAACATCGTTGAATTGCATTTGTTAGAGGTGAAAATGGATATTTGCGTTGAAATGTGATGCCTGAAACTTTTCACGATTACAATACTTCCTTTTTAATTCGTACAAGGAAGTAAAAAAGTCGCAAAACTTTCGAGCTAAGATGTACTGAACATGAATTTGACGAAGTTTTCTCGTTTCCTCCCAATTCCTCATAACTGAGAGCGTATCTGATTTCTCATGTTCTATTTTCTAAAAGACCTTTTATTTTACCTTCCACGTGGTTTTGAGCATAGCATTTTTTCAGAAGGTTATCACTCGGAAAAGATGCTTTATGTATTCTCTAAGCTTAATTACTTTGTAACTGCTTAACAAGCGACAAAGTTTGAAGCTAATTCAATGAACTTTTATCACATGATGAATTAAAAAATGTGTCTTAATATTCGTCTTAATTTGCCTCATTTTGAAAATATGCATGTAAAATATGTCTTAATAACTTGGCTTCGGAAAGTTTCATCGCGATGTTATTACATTAATTTTTTTGAATAACTCTAGCCATAAATATGATTTTGTTAAGTATCAAAAGAAATAAAATATTATCTTAGATTTTTCTTAAATGCTTAATTTATTCGTATTTTAAAACAAATTAACCTTTACTTAGCAAGCGCAGGAATAATATGCGCTAACTTATGCTTCTCATATGTATGAAAGAGTATTCATAAAAGAGTAATTAATAAAATATATAACTAAATAATTAGTATAAGAGTAATTAAGAGTCTCATATGTAGGAGAGATGTCTTCGTTGAGGACTTATAAGAGAAACTGGATGGCATTCATGTTACATATAAAGCATAAACCATGCAGCTAAAGCCATTTGCTCAATTTTAAACAAAGATCGAACTTCCAGCGTTCGGTGATTGTATCCGCTCGACCGCTCTTAGGCCTTTTATATACATGAAAGATCCGCAGAAAACCGCGTAGGTTCCTGAAATGTTTTCATTTAAATTTTGCTTATCCGCACTTAAGAATTCGAAATGTTATAGCTACATTTTTTTGCTTCTTTTAAGATAGGCAAATTCTCCTTAACTCGCGTAGCATATGACTGATCGAACTTCCTGTACCGCTGTTAGAGGCTTAACAGAGCTTAGAGGTGCTATTTAAGTATAGATCTAAAACAAGGCCTAAATCAGGCCCATAAGCATGTTACTTACATGCATAAAAATATGTTTCTAACAGAATATCATAAACACCATAATTTTTCTTAAAACAGACGAAGAAATTTTTAAACATAATCAATATATAAATTCGTTTCGTGTACAAATACATATTTTATGAAATTTGACAATTTCAATTTAGTCACTGTATTTTTACATAGATCCTTTATAGCAGCGTTTCTTAAACTGTCGGTCGCCAAAAATTTAGCAGTTTTGATATTTCTTTAACTTCGTATAATAATTTAACAATTATCAAATATTTTTACGCATTGTATCTGAAAATAAATAAAGATAAGACAATGCAGACAAAGAAAAAAGGAAAACGTTTCGATGCATTCTTTTTTGAATAGAAACGTTCATTTTACTTGCTTTGCACGTGACGCTGTCATTTCGTCTGTTACTGATTTAAAATTTTCACATTGTTCTATGTCTTAAAATTTGAAATGAAAGTTAATGACCTAAAACTTCAATAGTATATTACAGTACAAGCGAAAAAACTGACAGTTTCACACACGCGTGAGTCGGATTTGCGCAGTGTTTATGGGGTCCCACAAAATTTTCTTAAATATTATGGGGTCCTGCAGGTCGCGAAAGAATCTCAGTGATAAAAAGGGGTCGCGACTGAAAAAGGTTTAAGAAATTCTGCTTTAGAGTATTAAATTTAGCAGTATCTGAAATAAATCTTAGAACAATAGTTTTCATAGAAGAACATCTAAATAACAAGTGCTCAAGATAACTTGCGTAGCATATCGAAGATCTCCAAAACCAGTCGCAGAACAAAATTTAAAGCAGTAAGTAATCACCGGCTCTGAAATATATGATTCAACGCGGGCGTATGTATAGGGTTGCTGACGGCATAGACTTAGCATAGAAAGTAGATCCAAACTGCAGAAGAAGAATTCGGATTGCGTAGAATGCTAAAATGTGGAATACGTAATGACTAGGAAACTTAGCAGCAGAATAAGATTAAACATTCATTTTTACTTCATTTGACATTGTGGCCACAATTCACTTGGCACTCTAATCTTGCCTATTTTCACAATATTTACATTTTTTGTACTGTTGCGGTAGAATGAGAGCAGAATGAAATAGCGTCCAAGTGGCACAGAGGTAGAAACAAAAGTGCGCAATTATCCAGTACGGAGGCTCACGAAAAGAAGATTTTGGTTTAGGTTGCTTACTAAGAGAAAAGTTTCAGTTCTCGAAATTTTGAGTTTAATCCAATTAACTATGTCATCAGCGTTGCCGTTGCGAAAGCTATGCGTCATAGATTCATCTAGAAATGACACAGTCATGAAAATTTATTACTACTTTTAGAATAAAAAGGAAATACCCAAATTAAAAATGAAATATTAAGAGGCTATTGCTAGATTAAATTATAAAACCGATTTTCAGGTTTCTCACCAAGAGATATCTAAGATATCTCTTGGTGAGCTTCCATACTGGATAAATCCGCACTTTCGTTTCTACCTTTCTTCCTGTAAAGATTCTATTTGGCTGTGCTCTCTTCATGTCGCAGCAGTGTCAAAAATGTAATTGTTCTTTAATAGGCACGGTTAAAGTGCCAAGTAAATTACGGCCACAAATCTCAGTTGAAATAAAATTGAATATTTAACCTTACTCGCCTTCCAAGTTTCTTCTTTAATATGGATCTACTTTCTGCACGATCAACATTGTTACTTCTTTTTCTGTTTTCATCACAATGTCTGTACTGTCTACGTACTGCGCCATCAGTATTTCTGTGCCTCAGTGTTACTACACCAGCACTTCTAAGTTTGTTTTTATTACATATATGTCATTTTTGCGTGATTTAAGGTATTTTATATTTTAGATTAGTCGAAGAACTTAGAGAAAAGTGTGGCATCGTTCTCGAAAATGAAGATGTCTATGTGTCCACACAATTCAACGAGTTTGTGAAAGCTGCTGTTCTGAAGTTGAGAGGAGGTGGAAGTTCTCCAAAACTCGAATTTAAATCGGTATGTTGAAATCCTTTTGCGACGATATTATGTGTTGCGGTGCTAATGTTCTAATGAAATGTTTGAAAAGTTGCAAATAAGTCATTATGTGAACCAGATGTGTATTCACATATACAGGATCTCCAAGAATGAATGGTAGGTTTTCATGAGGTCCGTGGAAAATATTTATAATAAGAAATTTGTTGAAAGTTCTTTTATTTGAATCGGTAACTCAAAACGTTATGAACAAAATTGGTGTGCACCGTTAATGCAACCACAGTGCTATAGCGATATTCAATTTTTAATCCATGCTGTGGCAGGAAAGACCGGTGTTAATGCTTATATTTATGTTCTTCTCTCTTTGAGGCGTTCAAGATTATGAATTCCTTTACTGTAAATCTCAGTTTTGACAAAGCTCCAGGAAATCAAAGATTCAAGTTTTTTTGCACATGTTTCACAGATTGGGCCGATACGACATCTAGCTGAAGAAATTTAAGTCAGTTTCTTCTATTTCCATTCTCCCGATTTGAAGAAATAAAATGATCTGCAGCATGTCAAAGTATATTATATACACTATACACTAAACTGATATATACATAATACTGATATATTATACATTTAGCTGAGATACATAGCACAGTTGACCCTTTTTGTTATAGTATATACATGGTTTTATACTATACATTATTTAATGCATTATTTACATTATTTTATATCATTTATACACCAATATACTCACAATAACTCAAAGTGTACTCAATATATGTACATTGTTAAGAATTGTGCATGTTATAAAATAGCACGAAATATACTCTGTCTTGTTTTGCATCGACATTAATAGTATGTTTGTAGGCTGCTGCACACCTTTAGGCTGTTTGACGCAGATCTGTGCCAAGCGCAGAGAGTTGATCTATAGTAATGGATCAACTTTCTGCTTGCGTTGTTTGGCTTTGCGTTGTATTCTGCACGACATTTTCTTCCGCGATGATTTTGTGGCGATGTTTTCGCTTGTAACTATTAAATCCGTCGCTTTTGTTGCGAAACCCTTAATTTGTGGGAAAGCAAACAACGAAATAAGGGCTGCACACGCCTATCTAATTTCCGTTACAGTTTGGGCCTTTGTGATTCACCAAAACAAAGTATTACACTAGACAACTTCAGGAATCATTGTTTAGCGATCACTTAATTATTTTCAGAAATCAAGCTTTGCCATCGAGTCATGATTTGCAAATTGCTTGCATCTTCTGGCATTACCCACGAATTTACGAGTTTTGCAGTGTGAAATCGGAATACTACTCAAGACATTATTGCATAGGTAGTGTCGAAAATGTCGTCTGAGACCTACAAATGAATGGACGGCTTAGCATCGGCTTGTGGAACGACTTTGCTTGTGTAGAAACTCCCGCCTCACGCTAGGGCCTTTCGGTAATAACCGTAGTTTCACAGGCTACATTCATGAAATATCATTAACACCAGGTTAGAGAAGTTCATAGTATTAAACTGGATTTTTGGAATTCACACTGGTAAAAATCCAGCCAGTGTGTCACAACAAACCAATCATCGAAGGATTTTTTTTAATCCAGTGATGGGCACTTACCTTTTCAGCAATGCTTACTCCTAAGGGCAGAAGTGGTGACTATTTTACTGTAGAGGCACCACCTAATAGGCGGGAACCGGTGCTGTCTATGAAGAGGCGGACAGTTAACAGCTAGGCCTCGTCCGGATTTGAGTCCAGGCCCTTCGGTAGCGCAGTAGGCTCCCCTAACCACTATACCGTCTGGGCGGCATCATGAAAGGAAAATCTTACGCAATCATCCTGTCCATATTCCTGCCGCCCCGGGGGTTGACTCAGGCGAACGCCTGGGAAGTACTGGTTAGGATTTGTATCTAGGCAGTCTCAACCACGGGGGTAAATAATTTGACTTCACAGGTTTAGAGCCCGAGTATTGTACTCAGGTTGGTTCAGGCTTGGATGGGACCGTACTGGTACTGTCTTGTCTGTTCCTTCGGCTGTGGTGGAACTATATCGGAGATCGTCGACTGAGTCCCCGGGGGTTTGACCCCATTCAGTTCTCATGGCGGGGACTGACAGAGTGGACAGAGCACCCATAAACAATGGAATTTTAGCCGATGGAGTGGTGCCCGGACGCAAGGGGACAGAGTTTTTGATTTTGTAACGACTTAGTTCTGCCCAATGCTTTGTAAAAGCCGGGCGGGAACTGCGAGGGTTGCGCCGCGAGGACGAGGTCCCACGGACGACAGATATTCCATACTCTGTATGGGTCTTCCTTGGTCAAGGCTGGGGGATAGTCAATGTTTTGACATGTGCTTGAGTTTCTTCTTAGATGAATGTTAGCCATCCTCCACAGACTTTGCGTTTTATAATTGACGAACGAGACAAAAATTGTCCCCCCGGGGTTGACTAGAATTATGCCCATTTGGAAGACCTCTACGGGTTGGGGCGATTAATGGTGTAAGGCTGCCTCAAGCAAAGCCAGGTCTGGGTGCCTTTTCCTCTAAACCAGAATATTAATCATTGCAGTTATGCTACTATGTAAACTAAAATGTACTATTCTAAGTGGTATAAGCGAAGCTGATACGGATAATGTGACCAATAGCAGAAGTACTTGGTACAAGAAAGTATAACGCTTTATTCTTCGCAAAGTGAATATCAATAACAAAAATACTTCTTAAAATAATCATGTCATAATTCTCTTTGAAAACTAAAATTACTAAATCAGTAAAAGTAAAACATCTGTAGATAACACTTTTCAAGAATGGCAATGTGAAAACTGATGAAAAGGTTAAATTCTGAGAAAGAATAATAAGTGAAATTGTATTTGCTCTCATTTCATGACATTGTTCTTATGACAAGAGTCTGGAATTTAATTTGAAACTTTTATTCTTGACTGTAAGAAGTAAGTATTAATAATTATGACTTAAATATTTTATTATGTTTGTATCTATGAATAAAGATGCGTATTTTTATTGTTTTTCAGGTATGTGTGCACGTAAATAACATGGATCTCAAAATTCCAACACAGTTATTTATTAACAATCGTTTCGTGGATGCATCATCTGGAAAGACATATAAGTCCATTAATCCAATTGATGAATCGGTAAGATAGAAAACCTTTGTTGCGAAATGTTTGTTTAAAATTCAATATAAAGCAATTTGTTCATTTACTGTATATATGCAATGAATTGTATATGTGCAATTTTTTCCCAAAGTAACTCGAGCGAATCAAGGAGAGGGTTAATAATCTTATCATAAATATCATAAATACTTTAAATATTTCTTTAAAGCAACAAACATACAAGGATCTTTCACAAGTGTCAAACATAACACACTTGTAAGAAATAAATGTCTAAAATTACTTAGCCAATTCTCTGTGTCGGTTTCATTCGACTTTTACGCACTTACCACTTCGGTTAGCTGCCATCATCGAATTCCTGAAAAAAAGTGAGTTTGTCAACTCTGCAATCATGTCTGAGTTGCATCTTTCACATCATCATCTTCACTATAATGTTGTTTGATTGTTTGGTGTCGTGTCGTGTCCTTTGAGAAGTCAAATGGATCCATACTTGGATATCACTGTTTTTGCAAGTTCCACTATCTGTTCTCTATACAGCTCTTCCTGGAAAAGAAATTTCCCCGAGCTTTGCAGAGCTGCAAGTATTGCCGGACAAGTGAAGATGTGTTCTGGAGAAAGCTTCGTTTCGGGCCATTTCTGTATGATCTGCTACCATCTTCATTAATTTTCATTCCTCCAACATGGCGGGTTCTTAATATAGTAATGGTCCTTGTGATTTCTCTGTTTGTATCAATCTCAAATATCTGATGGTCTTTCTTAATATATTTTTCTTTGAGTCTATATCTGGCAATGGCATTAGCATTTTCAAGAGGGACGGCAATAGAGTTGTTGAGATTTCTTGCCTTTTTAGCCAACTTACGCCGGCCAACAAGCAGAAGTCCAACCTCTTGAGGCAATGGCAACGATTTTTCCACGAGAGGTCAATTTTTTTTTTCTTATAATGTGAACTATGCAAGTTCTGCTCAATTTTAAAAACAATAAACAAAAAAGTCATTTGGAGACAGGTGTAGAAAACTATGCCTTATGCTCGGGTATGTTATCATGCAATAACAACACGTTTCTGTTGAGTTTGCCACAATGATTTTCCTTTATGGCTATCAGAGTTGAGTCAAAAGGTTGTCCGAATAAATACCTTTTATTGTGATGTTATGTGGCAAATATTGAAATTGGCAATGGATTCCATTCATTCCCTCTCAAAAAAATATTATGCTCAAATGTTTGCCAACAGAACTCCGTATTCTGGAACTGTGGAGTCGAAAAGATTCTCTGAGCTTCCACACTATGTTCTTCGGTTTTATTTTTTGACTAAAGAGACGAATCTGTGTTTTATTTGCTATCAATCATTTGCCACGATTAAAAATTGTTAGCTGTCATCCACAGAATTCTCGAGAACATTCAATTCGATTCGGGTTTTCTTCATTCCTGCCATCAGGCAACTTAAGAATTTAGTTTGTGCTTGTGCAATTTAGAATTTAGCTTGTGACATACCCAGAATTTACTCACCCCGCACTAACACGCATTTCCGTCACAATCTGAGTCACATGTCGATTTTCCATAGTACATTTTTTGAAAGACTCATTTTGTACTCATTCCTTTAAGCGTCCTTTCATGATGTAAGTGGTTAAAATAACCATTTAACAAATGGAAAAGCCGTGGTCATGAGAGAATTTAGCTGAATGTTTACGTTTCGTGGGTTGGTAAAGGTAAGAACTCTCTATAGAGGCGGGTGAACTGAAATGTTAAGGACGATAATTTATCAGTATCTAGATTTGTTCGACTTGGTTTTTAATTTGGCCTTTAAGTGGGGGAAAATGTAAGGAATTACCGCATCTCATGGACAGACTCCGAGCGTGTAATTTTAGCACGTCCAACTAGCTAATGGAATCCATGGTTCGGATGCCAGCAAAGATAGAGCGGATATTTATGCTTCCCGACTTCAGGAAAACTAACAAACATTTACAAATGAATAAAAAGCATTCAAAAGAATCACGAAAGTAGCTTGCCAAAAATGCCTGCTAGGGAAAGCTTTTAACAGGAGAATGATGGCTGTGTCTTATCAACAGTTCTCTCTCATCGCAGCAAGATCGTTTAATTTTTTAATTTGTAGCATAAATTGCATAATTTTGTAGTATTGATAATATAGGTGTTTAGTCATAAAGTTGAATTTTATTCATGCATCAAATTTTTGTTTAATTGCTGATAAAAGCGATGTTAATTTTATGTACGAAATCAATTCATTACAGGATCCTCGTCACTTTTAACAAGTTTTATTTTAATATGGAAATATTTCGTCTCTACTCACGTCAAAATGTAGGTTTTCGCTGGTCTAGAAGTGATTTATTTCGTAATTTCAGGGTTTTACTGTGTTCATTAATAACACCTACGTTATTTCTGTTCATGTGATTAATATGATAAAATATTATAATTAAAAAGCAAAACCTCAACTTTTCATAATATTAACTTTTAATAAATAGTTAAGTTAGAAGTCAAACAACAAAAATCAGCGTTATATTTGCAAATTTTCCAGGACTAGTTTCGATGATTTAACTATCGAATCATCTTCCTCAGCTGCTAAATTGCAAATGAAGGAGATGAGATATGGTGATAATATAAGATATGTATGGATGAAGAGAAGTTAAGCTACTGGCGCCATCTTTTGATGAAACAAGGGAACTAAAACACAATTTCCTTCAAGGCTGAAGGTGAAGAAGGATTGGAATTAGGGCCGTTCACTAGAACTAACTTCTTGTTGTTTGACTTCCAAAATAATCGTTGTTCGGCGTGTCATTTTAACCTCAATAATTATATGATATTATTTTTTTCCTTCTTTTAGGTTATATGCGAAGTTCAGTGTGCATCCAAAGAAGACGTAGATAAAGCAGCAAAAGCGGCAAAAGTAAGATTATAAGAATAAATACAATAATGTTATTTATTAGCTCTTCAAGTATTTTTAAATTGCCAAGCTAAATTCGAATGATGACTTTTGCAATGGCTCTATAATGCTTTTAAGAAAATTTTACCTCAATAATTTAAAAATAAATATCAACAATTTTAAACATTCTTTAACTATATCATTTAATTTCCATGTTATGTTCTATCAGTAATAAAAAAGATAATTTAAATACAATAAAACAGGCGTTTGTCGCTGAAATAATTTTCAACAAGTCGCATCTGTGGTCGATTGTATGAGATAGCTGAACACTAGTTGAAGTGCATATGAATCTTTCCCTTAGAAAGTTCTCCACGAATGCATCTTTTCCTCTAAAAAATAGCTTTCTTGTACTTTGTCATATCCATACATGTAGACAAGCTTAATTCACAGCAAAGTTTCGAAAGTAAGTTTCTATAGTTGGGGGTTTTGTCAAAGGTGACAACCGGTTTTATTTCCTTTATTCGGATTTACGTTGCACACGGAGAAAACGTCGCAAACACCCAAGCTGTTTATCCTTTCGCTAAGTATGGAACATGAGTTGAAATACTAGTGTTCAGCGGTCTTATCCACTTGGCCTTTGGGAGATTTAAGAACTTACTATTTGCTCATATCTAATTAATTTTACAATTAAAGGTACGAGGTATTTTACGTTTAATATTTTACGGCATAATGACTTTCTTTCTGTTTGTTGGGCTGAAGAAAGACCATAAAAACAATTACATTTTTATCTTTTCATAATATTCTTCCCTTAGTTCTATAATTCCCATAAAACTCTTCACGTTCTTCAGAGAAACGTTGTAAATAGTAAACATTGTAACTTGCTCAGCATAGGTAGTTAAAAAAGGTAATGCCTGTAATGATGCTTCACGAATATCTTGTGTTTTTGAAACACATGTATCAGTTTATAAACACGCATTGGTTTACAAATACTTGCAGGGCAGTGGCTTTGTAACAATGCGAATTTCAACAATTATTTTCGTAAAATTTAGGAGATTTTACTAAGATATACCGAGAGACTGTCGAATAAATCCTCAAATTCCTTTTTTTTTTTTTTTTTTTTTTTTTTTTTTTTTTTTTTTTTTTTTTTAAGTTCCTGTTGCAATTGCTAAGTTATTATTATATGAAATAATGCTCGTGTTATTTTCTATTATAACTTTCGCAAAATGCAGTGCAAACTAATCCTAATCTAGAAACTAAATTATAACATTGAACTGTGAATTATCCTTAAATTTTACTAAATGTCGAATACAAAAACCGACCAACAATTTTAACGCCAGCCAATCCTAAAACTTGCTAATGAATGGAGAATATCTATGAAATTGCAAGAAAATGTACCGAAAAGGAAAAGGAAAAGGAAATAATTAAAATATTAAAAAAAATCTGAGAGCTTTCAGATTTTATTTTGCATCCAAACGGACATTTTTTAAAAAAATTACAGACACATATACGTTTCGAGAGCACTTCGAATAACGCCACATTGTGCTAAAAATATTTAAAAACAGCATATCTTTAGAATTTCTGATAGACAGTCTGGCGCACTCGAGATAAAAATGTTTTATTCCCTGCAGTATTGCCACTGCTCGCTTTGAAATTGTTGGGGTATTTTTAATCAAAAATCCGTTATAAAGTTTTATAAAATATGGAACAGGTAGGAAGTCGACCTTTTCAAAGTTCACCAATCATTCGCTGGAAATGGAGCTGAACCGGAATTTTGAAAGACAGCTTAAAGTTTTGGATTAAATTCTGGAAGAGGGTTATTTTAGATTACATTCTTTTGCCTAAATATTAAAGAAGAAAGTATTAAAATTGATTACATATAACAAATTGCCTAAGAATTGCAGCACAACATTCAATATTTGAGAAATTCCCAGAAGAACCTCTAAAATCCTCAAAAATAATCGCAGAAATTTCAAGAAGGGCAAAAAGTATTAATTATTATTAAAACTTTGATTAAAATTATTATTCCTTTTTTTTTTACAGGCTGCCTTTGATGATGGCGAATGGAGAAAAATGAATGCAAGAGATCGAGGCCGTTTAATGTTTAGGTTTGTGAACTTCTAATTTGTTCAACCTCTCATTCTTCTTTCTTCATTATGATTAAGACTAAAGATAATCTATTCAGCGTTTTTCGTAGACATAATCAGTGAGCAAAGTGACGTCATATTTGGGTGAATATGCTATGGAGAAATATGAAATCACTAAAGATTGAAACGTACATTAATTTAACAGTAGTTGCCAAATTGGTAAAAAAACATATATGAATATTTTATAGAATCTTTAACGAATCTTTTACTGATCTAAATATTCATATTTAGATTAATAAACATAAATATTTTACAGAATTCATCAAAAGGATTATAAAATTTTATTCAAGTTCTTTAAACAGTTATTTTGTGTTAAAACCGCTTTCCTTCTTTCCTTATTAGTACTAAAAATATATATGAATATTTTATCGAATCTTTTACTGATCTAAATATTCATATTTAGATCAATAAATATAAATATTTTACGGAATTTATCAAAAGGATTATAAAATTTCATTTAAGTTCTTTAACCAGTTATTTTGTTGTAGGTTTCCCCACTGTGTAATTCTAAGTTACAGTTAGAAGTGAAGAATCTTAAGAACTAGTAAGCGAATAATCGCTTGAGTTTGTAAGGCAGTATTTATTATTCAAATAAGTTTTAACAGGACTCCGTCTTGGAGTTGTACAATAAAGCCGACACCCGGGCTTCAACTTAACAGACTAAGAAATAAACTAAACTAAAAAGATATACCGAAGCTATCAAAATTCTAGCAGAGTTGGCCCCTTAATGCTAATTGACTGCGAAGCTATCAAGGGCCTAAATACGCCGAGCGTAATAATAGCTTAAGAAAGAGTAAAAAAAAAAAAAGGGCGCGTGCTAGCCAGAATATCTGGTATTTCTCTCACTGAGACAGTAGAACTTTGCGGTTAAATACCACTCTTCCTCATTAGCATTCAAACGTGATTCTAAAACTACGTTCTGGGGGGGGGAAATGGTAAGTTGAAATTAGGAATCGATAGGAAATTTAACTCAAAATTTAACTGTTCATAAAATTAACATAATCCTTACATAACTCCCGACCAGACTTTAAATAGTCGAAAGCTAAAGGTCTCTAAACGACCTTGTTTAAGACTTTAAAGTATAAAATCTTTCTAATGTTAAACTACACTCCTAACTCTTTCATTAACTAGATTTCACTTAAACTTCTGTTCTTAGGGCCAACTTTACAGAAAAATCTAAAACTAGAAATTGACAAAATTTGACAAAAAAATCGGATTTTGTTACAATCATCTGCTTCTTTCGTTTAATCCATAAACCTTAATCCTGCTACTTTAGTCTTGGTCCTTCCATATGTGGAAGGAAACAGTATTAGTACTGATTTTCACAAAAATTTCCGTACCACTTAGAATTACTCCTTTATTGCATCATTTGGCCCTCACACACTTTCATTCATACTTAAACTTCTGTTTCCCCCATGCTCTCCAGAAATTGTTCTGAAATGTGCTTAGGTACTTATGTTGCGTTACTACGAACAAAACTACCGCTATACAACATCTAACATTGTTAAATTTGACATACTAGACTTCACAAGACTCCCTATACAAAAACACTTTCCTAATCTGCCAAGCGAAAGCTTAAATTAAACTTTAAAGTGTTAGCTGGAGAGTCTGACGTTAAACACACATGTATATACTAAAACAATCGATTCTTTCACAAATTCATTTGTACGGCGGCCAAAATTTATCTCTTGTAAAAATTCAAATTCAAGACACTTTACCACAGAAATTGAAGATTTCTACTTTAACGTAAACATTTAGATATTTATACATCACTTTTAATTTCATTTTACATCAAAAGTCATAGTTGCTTAATTACAATTTACCATCTTTACACGACAGACCCACCAGCGGCCGAGCGGTAAAGAGGCTGAACACTGGTAGTTCGGTCCGAGGTTCGAATCCCGTGAACGGGCTGGCTGCATGGGCGTTTTCGTGGTTTTCCCCATGTGTAACGTGTATACGAGCCAGTTTCCCTTAGAAAGTCCTCCACGAAGGCATCCCTCCCTTTAGTCAGATAGCCCTCGTGTGCTTTGCCATAATTTAATAATCCAATCCAGTCCAATCCATATTTATACGAAATCTTAACTTTAAGTTGACAGATTTCAGTATTCAGAGTCTTTCCGACTAAACATATTCACAATTTAATTCTCGCAACTTGAGAGTTCTTAATAAAATATTTACTGCTAGTAGCTTCTCGCCAAATTGCGAACATAACAATCTATGATTACAAGCTATTTACAACTATGTTCCCGCTATTTGCTATTTAACTTTTCTAAAAATTTTTAGCAACTTAGGACACGATGATATAATTTGAACTTTTTTCAACGTAAATTAAGCAAAGAAATTTTCACTTATCTTTTTCTGTACTCCTCCATTGTGATATGACAGAATTGTTCAAATGTGGGATACCTGAGGACCTCCAACCTTGTTCTGGAACTTTAAAATAATTTAGTACTAGGAATAGGCATAGGACTAGCACTAGGAACGGGCATAAACATAGGGCTAGTACCAGGAATAGGCATAGGCGTAGGGCGTATACTAAGAATAGGCACAGATGAGGGTGTTTCGAATACCGGTGAGGGCACAGTTGATTTTTTTGTTTTTCCTCCTCTGAAAAACTTAATAGCTCTACGATTTTCCGTTTAATTTTATTACGCATTTATTCTGCCGCACCACTCCGACCTTGATATTCAACTTCAATTTAACTTTTAATATCTGAGCATTTTTAGTCGAAAAATGTTACTGAAAATGCTTAGGAGCACTTTCAGTAGTAATATCTACACTACTAAAATCCGTGCGCTTCTGTCTGTTTGTCTATGGCATTATCTGCTCCGGAACGACGGGGAGTTGAATTTCGAGAGAGGAACTCCCCCCCCTCCCGGATTCGAAAACTTCCTGAGAAGCCATTTCGACCATTCTCATCTTCGTACGACTTTAATTAGATAAGATATTAGTTAAAAACTCGAAAAAACGCTGATTGTAGCCCTCATTCTACTGAGTAGCAACAGTCTCGCACGCAGGAGATGAAATTCTGCTTTACGTCGAAAAGTGTTGCCACTGCTCTGTTTTAAACCGTAGAGTTCCTTAATAAAAAAAAATTTCAAAGTTTTACAAAATATGAAATAGAAATAGCGTTGAAAACTTTAAACATATTATTATTATTGTACCAAGTCATAGTTTTGACATTGAAGAAAGCACGTGATTGCATGTGACGGCATTGTATGCCGAAAATTGTTCATCAGTGTCACCATGGCTGCTGTTGGCAACTTTTTTGTTTCAGGTTAGTATAACTGACACGATATATTCAATGCCCCATTAATTATTTTATTGATATTGAGAATATGTTGTTATATTACATTAAATTTAAATTATGACTTGTAGAGACATTAGGTTAATTGGAAAAGCCGGAGACATGAAAAATTAGCAAACGCCTTCGCCGGGACCTCTGGAATACCGGCTGACCACTACATGACGAAGGCATGCTAGGAAAGCGGGAGAAATACCTTATATACTCTCCCTTTTAAATGGCGACTGGGGTTTTTAGGGAACCCATCGCCAAATCCTGGATGAGGATAATCATCTTCCACAACCCTTTTGGTTCGGGCGCCACTGTAGAGACATTAGGTATTTTTTGAAGCAGGCAAGATGAAAAATTAGCAACGCCTTCGCCGAGAATCGAACCGCGGGCCTCTCAATCACGCGCTGAGCGTGCAGACCACCACACCACGAAGGCATGCCAAGAAGGCGGGAGAAATACCTTATAGACTTCATACGTATTAACCTGAAGCGTCAAAAGCTTTTGTTTCCTGGTTTGGCAATAAAAAATGATTTACGAATGGGTTGTTGCTTGTGAAGAATGAACGGATTTCATTTATACTGAAATGTTTCCATACATTTGCTATTCAGAGGTACATAGACCTTATAAATTTTCTTTGGCTGCAGCCCGCTTACGTGGCGGGCTTGTTCGCAAGTTTGTATTGATAAAAAGTGTTTCAAACGCTATGTATTACATACTTGGTATAAAATCGTATGCTTTTTTTCAAGTTTGTTGTATGTTTAAAAATATTTTTGAACTTTATAAAGCTTAACTCTGCTTTCACGAAATTGAAATCTCTAGGTTATAGATATATATATTTTTTTAATTCCATCGCAGTAAGATATTCGTTTATGGATTGTATGCTATTGTTTAATTCAGTGTGCTATTTATTCTTTTAAAAGGCTTGCTGATTTCATGGAGGAACATAAAGAAGAGCTAGCCACACTGGAAAGCATCGACTCGGGTGCTGTATACACTTTGGCTTTAAAAACGCATGTTGGAATGTCAATTGAAACATGGAGATACTTCGCTGGTTGGTGTGACAAAATTCAGGGGTCTACGATACCTATAAACAATGCTCGTCCTAATCGAAATCTGACATTTACGAAAAAAGAACCAATTGGGTATCTATATTTCCATTCAACCTTTATGCAAAGAATTAAATTAATTTTTACTCGTAATTAATGCAAGTGTTCTTCCAGCGTATGTGGCATCATCACCCCTTGGAACTACCCCTTGATGATGGTGTCTTGGAAGGCGGCTGCGTGTCTCGCTGCAGGAAATACTCTTGTTTTGAAACCTGCTCAGGTGTGCCCACTCACGGCATTGAAGCTCGCTGAACTCAGCGTGTACGCTGGATTTCCTCCTGGAGTTATAAATATCGTACCTGGAACAGGTTTGTGCTAAAATTATATGTGAACTTATTATGGCAGCTATTTTGATATATTTTATACCAATTACTCTGCTAGTATTTGTGAAAATAATATCTTATAGGTATATTGCCTGGAAGAAGTTTGAAAGGAAATTCTATGCAAGCTTGTTTAGCCATTTTGTGAAATTATTTCCATTATTCCGCTAGTCAAATTATCGATGTTTATCTTGTTTATCTATAATATATTGTAATCAAAAAAGGAAGAAACCAGAATTAAGATTAGCATGCTTGAAATGCAGAAGAACCGAGGTAAGAATTTCTCTCCTTTAATAAGAAGTCTGATTATTAAAGCTCCGAAGTAAATTTCAGAAGGTGTGCACAGATATTTTCCTGGGTAGCAAATCCCCATCTTTTAAAATTTCTAGCCTAATAATTCCGTGTTAAAAGAGTGCGAACTTTTATGAAATTTTAATAGTTTAGTAAGTGAGTAGGTATAGCTATTAATTAACTCAAATTTACTCTTTTCAAAGGTAAACCGTAAGAATGCTAAGCAGGTTCTAACCTTTTCTTAATTTCTAGGATAATTCAAGTTCAATTAAAAAAAAGAGAAATATATATGTTTACTGAACATTACTGTCAAGCAAATTATAGAAAATAAATGTTACAAAATCTGATTTACCGCTGCTTTTAGGAAATAAGTTAAAAATTATTTGGTTTCCGAAGGACTAAAAATTTAAACATAAAACCGAAGTTAATTTTAGAATTTTATATAGGACCAAATTTAAAATTACACCAAATTTAATTTAATACAGGACATTAAGTTTTTGGAAGCAGGAAACTCATTAATTAACTGTGTTCTCACTACAATTCGAAGATTCGAATCATGGATCTTCCAAGTACTCTCAGCGTTACACCACGAGAGCAGCAAAGGTTATGTTCTAATTCCATACATTCTTTCCCACTAAAGGGCGACTGGGATGTGACACGGGGCCCGACTGATCAAACCTAGAGAAAGGTCAATTATCAACCAATTTTCAATTCCAGGTCCGCTGTCCAAGAAATAAGGCTGTCAGAACAAGAAACGTGAATAAATCAATTGTGTACTCAAATTCTAATCACTGGATCTTCCGGCTGCTAACTAGAAATGCTAATCGCTTACACCGCGAGAGAAAGCACGAGTAATGCGATAATTCCTCATAACTTCTGCTTCTAATCACCAGCTGCAAGATCGAACTGTCAAAGCATGAACATGCATGAAGAAAACAGGTGGCCCCTTTCAGGTCTACGTAACATAACGTATGAAGAAACAGCACAGGAATTTGCTTTCCCTAACTAGCCTATCATATGATGGTAAATAATAATAATAATAATAATAATATATATATATATATATATATACTACACTCAAATTTGCATCTTTGGAGGTGGAGCAGTAGAATGATAAGACGGAATAAACCTCAACAAAATCAATTATATGAGTAAGTTGAAACTATAAAAACATTTATGCAAAATTTTATTCTGAAGTTCCTTTTTCTTCCTAGAGGAAAAGTCTTCTTGAATTTTAGTTGACTAAAAGAGATCATGTCATCTGATAACCTAGTTTTTATGTAAGTTATGACGCCAACAATTTTACAGTCACTTTCCATGATACGAGGACAAAAGTTACGGAAGATTGTGCAGTCAATGTAACCGATACAACGTGTTCAGTCATGCAGTTACGTTTATTAATCAGCAGTTAAATCAATCAATATATTAATTAATGTGTTACTATGGATTACTATGTAAAATAGTAATGTTAATGTGTGTAACTATGTGATACGCATTTGCAGACCACGGAAAAGTGCATCGTAGAAAACTGCGGTAAATTATGCCCACTATATTGAAGAAGCTAGAGTTAATACTATCAAAATCGAAAACCTAAACTTGCTTAAGAAACTTGTAACAGATCATTTGAAGTGAAAACTATTTTAAAACATGCAATAAATTATGCCCACTATATTTAGCGGGCTCTCTGAGTTAATACTGCAAAAATCAAAAACCTTACTCTAGAAATTTATAACCGATCATTGTAAAAAAAAATTAATTTGTCTCTTTTGATGTTCTCGGCGCTTTTTAAGTTGCTCTCGACAAATCATTTTGCTTCTACCGCTTTTCCTCTTAGCGAATTTTCCCACTTCGCAATGTAAAGTTTTAACACCATTTTTTTGGAAAGTTCTTATATTATAAGGTATTTTCTTCCTCCTTCCACCATACCTTCGTGGTGTAGCGTATTCGAGAGGTCTAAGTTCTATACCTGATGAGGGCACTGCCCATTTTTCATGTCTCCAGCATAAAAAACTTAATGACTCTACAGTGGCGCACGAACTGAAAGGTGGTGGACAATAATTCGTAACCACCAGCGTTTGGCGATTGGGTCTCCTAATCCACAATCGCTCTTTAAAAGGAGGATTATATAAGACATTTTGTCTCTCCTTCCAGCACGCCTTCCTGGTGTAACAGCAGCACACTCGGCGCGTATTCCAGAGGTCCAGATTCGAGTCCCGACTTGGACATTGCTGATTTTTTCATATCTCCAGCCGAGCCTGTTCGGGAGAAACTCTCTGTCTGGATTCTTCACCGCCAGGCGCATAAAGGGATTAAATAAGCAACTGGTAAGAACAGGCTATAATTACCTGCTGAATACCAGTATAAGCCCGAAGTTCCAAGGGAGAGGCAGCTGATTTATCAGACTTTGATAAAGGTCAAATCGTTATGGTTCGGCGACTGGGAACATCAATATCATAAAAGGCGCTTTTAGTGGGCCATTCACGTGCAGTTGTTAGTGCATTTAAACGACATGTCGCCGGCCAGCAGTGTGTCGTCAACGGCGCATTGATTCCAGAGGATAGCTGAGTTTGCTACGCTTTGTTCGCTGTGACCGAAGAGCTACAACAGCCTAAATCACCACCTGCTACAACAGTGGAGACCCAGACAGTGTTTCTCAATACACTCTGCAGCATAAATTTCTGCGTATGGCCCGACGCAGCCGGAGGCCGAAGCATGTCCCTGCACTGACGGCACGTCATTACCAGGCATATGTAATGGGCCTAGAAACACCGGAATTGGACATTAGAAGAATGGAAGAGAGTTGCATGGTCCGACGAATCATGTTTTCTGGTCCATCACATCGACGGGCATGTGGTAATACAGCGATTTCCAAACGAAACCGTGGCTCCCGGATGCACAGTTGGACAGAGAGAAGCCGGTGGCGCAGGTATTATGGTGTGCGGCCATGTTTTCGTGGTGCACATTAAGACCTATGATCCCCATATAACAGTCCCTGACGTCTGTACGCTACGTGAACATCACTGAAGACAAGGTTCACCCATTCATGACAACAGCATTTTCGGCGGGGGATGGTGTTTACAAATAGGATAATGCACCATGTCATAAGGGTCGAATCGTCAGGGAGTGGTTGAGGAAACTTCCAGTGACCTTCAAGTCATGTCTTGGCCCGCAAATTCACCTGACATTAATCCAATAGAGCATTTGTGGTCCCACCTGAAAAACCAAATTCGTTACCCCCTCGCAATATGCGGGATTTGCAGGACTAGTTGCTGAGCGTTGGTACTAGATACCTCAGACTACCTATCACCACCTTGTGGAGTCAATTCCACGCCAGGTGCTGGCAGTTTTGAGGGCTAAAAGGTGGTCCTACATGTTATTAACATGGTGGTCATAAAGTAATGGCCTTTGGGTGTATAAAAATATAGCAGAAAGCTGCAAACAGGAAAGGCACAAATCAACATCGAGGACAAACCACTCTACTTACACTGATGCCACTTGGTGAACAGGCTCTGGAAATCCTAAGCGCCTATTCGTTGGTTCCTTACTTACGAAAGTAATTAAGTATTTTAATGAATTACTATAAGTAATAAAGTGTTTCTCAAGTATGAATATTTTTGCTGCCTTTTATTAATAGGTCTTATTTTTTTTATATTTAACAGGATCAGAATGCGGTCAAGCTATAACTGAGCATCCTTACATAAGGAAACTTGGCTTTACAGGTTCCACTCCGATAGGAAAGCAAATAATGAACAGGTATCACAAAATATAATTTCCTACTAGATAATTAATTACAAACTTCTATTTTAATTTGTCGAAGAACAATAAATTTTTAAGTATGAAAAATAAGTAAGGAGTGATAGACTTAACTTAAAAGTTAAGCTAGCGTTTCTAATGCAACGAACCATTGTTTTTCTTCTTTAGCTGTGCTCTTTCCAATTTGAAAAAAGTGTCCCTCGAACTTGGTGGGAAATCTCCATTAATAATATTTTCAGACTGTGATCTAGACAAAGCTGTAAGGCAGGTAATTACTTTATGAATAACATATACATTTTTCTTTATGAGCAAGCAATAGAATTAAGTGTAGCGCTAAACAAAACAAAAATGAGTAAAATAAATATAAAAAAATTTGAAAGCTTTCAGATTTCGTATTACACCCAAAGGTGCTTCTTTTTAACTTTTGGTGTGTTACCGTTATTTATTATATATCCTGTTCTTCGCACTTAAACCATAAAATTCTATTCAATAGCAATATCACAAAATAATTTAAAAAGAGCATTCTCTTAGAATTTCCGATACACAGTCTCGCGCGCCGGAGACAAAAATGTTTTCTTTTTCCCGTACAATGTCGCCATGGCTCGCTTTGAAATCGTTGAGTTTGTTGATCAAAAATCCGTTACACTTTTACAAAATATGAAATAGATAATAAAACAAATTACAAATTTGCGCTTCCAGATGCCCATATTCGAGTAAAGGACTACGTTATTCAAAATTCGATGTTTCTAGGTACAGTTGTTTTATCACAGTGCGAGAAACATACACACATGTACGCAGATTCTTCATTTTTTAATTTCTTTAAATATAACACACGGCGATAATATTTGGCGGCAACAATTTCAAAAGTGAAAAGGACATTTAAAGTTTTCAACGCAAAATGCCAAAACAAAATTTATAAATTATTTATAATTTGGGATAATAAAAATAAAACCTGAAAAATTTCAAATTTCAACCGTCGCTCACGACGCGTTTGTTAAGGCTTTTTACCTTTTTTTTAGCCTAAAAGGCGTTAGCCCAGAAGGGCTATTAATTTCGTTTTGGCATTTTGCAGTGGTTCACTATAAAAGGTCTGAATCACTTGTCAAATTGTTGCCACCAAATATTAGAGCCACCAATAAATAAATTTTTATTAACCCAAAGGGGCGTAGCCCAAAAGAGCTATTAGTCTCGAAACGGCATTATGCGCCGACTCACTGTTCTGCTGAATCACTTTTCAAACTTTTGCCATCAAATATTATCCTATTATATTTCAGGGTCAAAAAAGCTGTACTATATTTCATGAAATTAAATAATGAAGAATGTATATGTTTCTCGCACTATGATAAAACAACGGTACCTAGAGCCATGAAATTTTGAATAACGTCAACCTCCACTCGAATAGGGGCACCTAGAAGCCCAAATTTTGCATTTCGAATGTGTTTTATTATCTATTTCATATTTTGTAAAGCTTTAACGAATTTTTTATTAAAAACTCAAAGATTTCAAAGCCAACTATGGCTACAATACGGAATAAAACATTTTATCTCCTGCGAGGGACTATCTATCCGAAATTCCAAAGATATACTGTTTTTAAATATTATAAGCCCAAAGGGATATTAGTCCAAATACTCTGTAAACGTGTATATGCGTGTAAATAAAAAACAAAACGCTCTTTTGGGCGTAATGTAAAATCTTTCAGATTTTATATTTTCCTCTCCTTTTTCTTATAAATGTGCTCTTAACTGCAGTGAATCGTTCGTTGCAGATATACTCTTGTTCTTGTTTGCAGATACACTCTTGTTGTCAGACACTGACCGCACCATTTTAAGTTAAAATAGAAATGCGCAACACTTTCACAATTAAGAAAAACAGGGGACGTAATCGTAAACCCTTCTGTAAGACCCTGGACAGCAATCTGAAGTTTCAGAACGAAAAAAAAATTTTTTTGCTTGGAAGGTCAAATATTTGAAGGCGAGATGTTAATGAGATCATAGGATTCCTATACGCCAGGTTACAAATATACATATATTTGCTTTCAGAAATAAAAAGTAGTAAACTATTCTATATTGAGAGGCATAACATATGGCGCTAAAAACATCTTTAGAATAAAAATACAAGTATTTATAACCACAAGTTCGGTATTTTGTAAATTAAACACAGTTTAAATTAAATATATTAGATAAAAATACAATTAAAAAAATTTTTTAAATAATTAAATTACGTTCAAAAAAGGCGTTTCTTTAACATTTTGTCTGTTACCTTTATTTATTATATATCACGTTCTTCGCACTTAAACCATAAAATTTATTTCAAGAGCAATATCGCAAAATAGTTTTAAATTGAGCATATCCTAGGATTTCCGATACAGAACCTCGCGTGTTGGAGATAAAAATGTTTTTTCTGTACAATGTTGCCATTGCTCTCTTTCAAATCCTTGAGTTTGTTAATCAAAAATTCGTTAAAGTTTTACAAAGTATGAAATCGATCGTAAAATAAATTCCAAATTTCAAATTTGGGCTTTCAGATGCCCATATTCGCAGTAGGATGACGTCATTCAAAATTCGTTGGCTTCATGTTCCGTTGTTTTATCACAATGCGAGAAATATACATACATTTATGCAGATTCTTCATTATTTAATTTCTTCAAGTATAATGCAGGACTCTAACATTGGGTGGCAACAGTTTGAAACGTGAAACGGACATTTATAGTGAACCAACGCTAAATCGCAAAACGAAAACATAGTCCTTCAAGGACAAAACCCTTTTGGGCTAATTATATTAAAAATAAATAAAGATATCCGTATTATCCCCTCGATCGGAGAAATAGCGCGACTTAGAACCAGGTAAATGATTACATCTGCAGAAACGACTAGTCATTGGCCGGACCGTTGCAAAAATTTCCACCACCCGTCGACGGGATAATACGTAAGTACCGCTAAGAGTAAAGAAGCTAATCGGCATCGAATGGCAACATTCCAGAAATTGACTATTTGCCAATCTGCATGCATAGATATGTTCAAATTGTTTCATTCCTTGGAGTGGTAATATTTTCCAGGTCACATAGATGATTCACGGTGGAATGACGTAAAAAGATGTAATTGTCCGCAAATTTTTTGGGGAGACAGCGATAAAGATATTTCTAACATCGAAAAACAATTAATGCAATTTTTTATTTTAATAGTTAAAAATATTGTTTCAATAATTAAAAAAATTGCTTTAATAATTTATTTAATTTTTTAATATTCTCAGTGATCCTTCATGGCATTGAAATTTCTTCAATAACCTCATTTTTTCACTTCGTTCTTAAATAGCCTGTACAAAAACAATTATGCATTTTAGGGTATGAGTGGAGTATATTTCAACAAGGGAGAAAACTGCATTGCTGCCGGCAGGCTATTTGTAGAAGAATCGATCCATGACGCTTTTGTGGATAGAGTTGTATGTATACATGTTTTGACATAAAAATAATACATGCTCAGGTTGAATGTTATTGTAAATTTTATGTAAACATAAAATATGTAATACTAATAATATAAATTTGTGATAATAATAAATAATAAAATGAAAAGTATAATAATAGAATAATTGAATAAAAATATAAATAACATTTATGTAAACATATATATTTTGTTATATAATTACATTTATTTTTTCACAAAATCTGTATAGTTTTTATTTACGTATTTTGCATATCATTTTATTGGAAATGTACATTTATTTGCAGTTTTTAAATATTTGTTGATGTACTAGCTCTTACAATACTTTTATGTATTTACTTATTTTACTGTTATGTAAAATTTGCATTTCTGAAGAAGATTGGAATGGAAAATATCTTAAGTAAAACTGGAATTATAAGCAGATCCCAGTCACGGCCATCCGATTACTATATTCTTTCATAAGCTCCTAACACCATCTTTCCTCAGTTTTTATGGAAGGAAAACATAATTGTAATCTGGATGGGAGGATTATTTTAATACCCCTAAAATCTGGACTCTGGCCATTTGGGCCCTAGGCCCTATTTATAAATCTGTAGGTTTTTGGCAACAAATCTTTGATGCTGAGATTTCAACATATTGTTGCATTCTGCGGGTTCATGGATTTGGAGTGAATGATGACAACACTTGATGAAGAATCAAAATACAATTTATTAGCTAGTATTATTCAGAACAAAAATACGTTTACAGTCGTCGAAAATCTGCGACAAACATAGTGAAACAATCAGCCTTCATGCTACAAAGTAATAAAGTACAGCTCCCGACTCCGTCTATCGTTCTCAAGCTAAACTTTAAACTCAAAGCACTAATGCTGAACCAAACACTCTCAAGATACTCTTCACGATAAACTCAAGATACACTCTGCTATTCTGCGTACAGGCAGGGTTTATATAGCTCTTGACCTGCCTTCGAGACCAATCTGGGGTAAACCTGTAAGAATTCGTTCTAGAATGCTATAGCTCCCTCTACGCCATAGCGCAAATTTTGTGGCCAAATGGGCGATTTCCCGTCAAATATGGTAACACTGCCTTTCCTTGCTATTTTATGGCAACCCTAAACCCGCTTTGTGGGGAAGCTATCTTATCGTAGCTGGGCTCTCGTAACAATATGGTTATTTCTCGCCAATTTGGCTGCATTTTGAGAATTCTAATAAAACGCATTTTAAAGGCTAATTTTGTAATTAATTGTTGTAAGTTGTAATCCTGTAAATAAATTTCACTGACGCTAATGATGAGAACCAATCGGCACGCGAACCAATACTAGAGTCAAAGCAAGCTACCATGCGAATGAATGATGTACAAGATCACAGATTTTTCTCTTTCCTCAGTTTAATCTGACGAAGGATCTCACTAATTAATAAAGTAGTTGAATGTTTAAGGAAATAGCCTGTTGTTTTTAAACTATATTCAGTTTATTATTACAAATATTCTTGATTAGTACTTTTTTTTTGTCTTATTTTACTTCTGTTTCTGGTTTTCCTGTTTTATAAATGATCAGATACTGGATCAGTCACAAAGTTCTGAGATTTTTTTATGACAAATACAAATGAAGCGGTACGGAAACATAAGAAAATTTCACTGAATCACACAAGCACCATTTTATTGTATGACTTTTTGCCATCTCTTAGGCAGCCCGCGTATTTCGCATTACGTATATATTTGCAACTGACACATAATAAAATTATTTACTTCATTGATTGTTATTTTATGCTTAAAAATGGCATTTTTTGGCAAGAAATGGCTTATATCTGAAAAGGTAGACAGTAATGCAAAATTTTTAATGCCATTTTGGGAGAAAGTGAAATTTAAATATGCAAAATACTCACCGATTTTATTCGTATAACGAATACGTTCCTGGAGAATTGTGGTCTGGTTTAAATTTTAAATCCGAGCTAGGTATTAATGCGGTTCTAATTTCTTTGATTTTAAAAATTTTTGTGGTTGCTCAGAATAATGCTTTGAGAGTATCTGAGACTTTGGTAATTGGCACAAAGTAAATGCTAATTGACAGGAAGCAATGTTGGTTTCAGTTGTAGTTAGGAGTCGAACAGATTTTAAACCAATGTTAAGTTTTTACAAGATGTAGAGACATTAGATATATATATATATATATTTTGGAAGCAGGTGAAAAATATGCAACGCCTTCGCGGGGAATCGAACCACAGACCTCTCAATTACGCCCGGAGGGTGCAGAACACCATACTACAAAGGCCTGCAAAGAAGGCGGGAGGAATACCTTATAATGATTATGTAATTTTTTAAAAAAATATTTGCAATATTTATGCTAAATACTTATTAATTACCATTCGCAGGTTGCAGAGACCAAAAAAATGGTAATTGGTGATCCCTTGGATAGATCAACTCATCATGGCCCACAAAATCACAAGTAAGACATTTATAAATTCAATTCAATAAGTTGTTTTATCCCATTTGAAAACGAAATGAGGTTTTTAATAGATTCTCATCACGAAGTTTGTAATTAAAGTTCATTAAAAACAAAAAATGGTGAGGGGGGGAATTAGAATCCAACAAAATTTGTATATATATATGGTGTGTTTGTGTTTGTGTGCGTGTAATAAAATCAAATTTCAGATGTAGCAAAAATTTTGATGACGAAGTACGTAGATGGCATACTGAAGAGGAAGAATTTTGATTGCCTAGAATGCTAATCGATAATGAATAGGAAACTTGGCAGTCGAAGCAGATTAAATTCCGTTTTTATTTAAATTCACATTTATGACCACAATTCACTTAATACTCTAATCGTACCTATTTTCTAAACATTTACAGTTTTTAACACTATTGCGATAGAAACAGAGCACAGCAAAATGACGCTCAAGCAGTAACAAAGATACAAGCGAAGTACGCATTTATCCAATATGGCAGCTCATCAAAGGAGGAATATTTTGGCTTACGTTAGAAAGGTTTCAGTTATCAGAGTTTAGGTTCCGAAATAATTACGTCATCAGCGTTACGTAAGCTCTGTGGCATAGATTAATCTAGAAATGGCACAGTCCAAAAACGTTATTATTTTGTTTTCAGAAAAAAGAGGAAAATTAAAAACGAGGAGTTAAGAGGCTGTTATTAAATTAAATTATAAAGCTGATTGACAGACTTTTTATTTTACAATTGTTTATTAATTCTGAATGGCATTCTTTTTACGATTAAGAAATTCATTTCCTTAAGGGGACTTGTACCATTCAAATGATTTTTTTTAATTTAGGAACTTTCATCTATTTTTATGAATATTATTAAAAATTTATGTTGGGCAAAATGATTTTAAGCTAAGAAAAACTTTTCGTCTGCAATTTTTTAAATGAAAATATTTCAAAAAACGTTTAACTACTAAAATATCTTTCTTCTACCCAAGTTCCTTCTAGCCCAAGTTTTTATGTTTTATTTATTAGAATGTTTTTAATAACTTAGTAGAATCATAAGGTTGTTTTGAAGCAACAGACGTAAAAAATGTGCGATGCTCTCTCCGGGATTCGGACCCTGGACCTCTCGAATACGCGTCGAGTATGCTTCCAATTACCCCACGAAGGCATGCGGAAAAGGAGAAAGGAAATACATTATGCACTCCCTCTTTTAAAGGGCGACGGGTAATTAACGTATCCAATCGCCAAATCCTGGTGGTGACGATTTATTCTCCACCAACTTTTAGTTCGGGCGCCAATGTAGAGAGGTTATTTTGAAGGAGGAGAAGGGAAAAATGTGCAGTGCTGTCACTGGGACTCGAACCCTGGACCTCATCTCGAATACCCGTCGAGTATGCCTGCAGTTACACCTCATAGGCATGCAGAAAGGAGGGAGAAAGTACCCTTATAACTTTAAGGATCGATTTTGCAATTAACGAATTAGTTTCCGAAAAACATGAAAAGCATATTTATACGTAAAAACTTTGAAAAACATGATGTCAATTACATCTTCGCTTCTAATATTTCAGCTTTTCAATATTTTTCAAACCCATCCTTGTTTCTATTAAGCATATAATAATAAGTAAGCAGTAAAATTTTAAATTATGAGAAGGATTTGAGCTGAGAAGGACTGAGAGTGTTGCAATGAATCTAGTGTTTTCTTATTTCAGTGCTTGCATTCTTTTGGTTTTTAAAGTGTAAGATTCAGAATACATATTGTGTTTGATCTGATCATATCCATTGTTAACATTAAAAGTTACGTGTGAATGAATTGAATATATTCGTTGTGAATAAGGTAAATTCATTCTGTTTGATGAGTATTTCTTGTGTCAACAGTGCATTTAAGAGTGAGTAGTTATTAAATGTGAAATTTAACACACTAAATGAATACGAATGCAAATTAGTAAGGTTTACTTTGAATAAAATTCTGCATTGGCTATTATTATAGAACATCTTTTTCATATAGACTGCAATAAAAAGTGCTGACTTCTATTGACATAATAATTGGTGTCAATATTTTTCTCACGTGCATACTTTTATTTAAAAATAGCATTTGAGCTCCGATGTTTATCACATATTTCTTTCTTCCATTTTATTTATCATTATTAAATAATATTTCACGTGGTTACTTTTGCGGAGTATCCAACATGTGTTTGTATTTATTTAAAATTCTTTCAACCAGGTAGTGAAATCTTCACAGTTGCTTATACACTGGTGTGCAAAAATTAAGGACGAAGTCGAAAAATTAGCATATTAGCTGAACGAAGAGGCAGAGCGGACAGAAAGACCAATCAGGAGATTAAGTAAGGTGATGTACGGTAGCACATGCGCAGATATGCAGGACGTAATGGAGGAGTGTCTGAGTAATATAAAGCATGTTGTCGGTGTAAGATCAGTATTTCTGGCAAAGAGATTGCACGCCGTATAGCAGTTAAAATCCCACCGAGTTGCTGCCTCAGCTAGAAATGGCGAATAATCAATCTGTTAGACGACATCTGGATGCTTTTACCCGAGGTCGAATCATTGGGAAGTTGGAGGAAGGCCGCAGTGTGACAAGTGTGGCTGCACAGTTCGGAATTGCTCACAGCATCGTTTCACGACTTTGGAGACAATTTCAAACTACAGGAACAGCTATCCGGGGGTTTAGTAGTGGTCGTCCACGAGGAACCACACCCGCAGATGACCGGTATATTGCCTTACAGGCCAGAAGACAGGCGGCAGACAGCGGGAGAAATCGGCAGACAGCGGGAGACACACGACACAGGCGACTGGACGACCGATATCGCGTTTTACCGTGGCCAGAAGACTGCACGGTGGTGGTCTGTTTGCATGACGCCTTGTACGGTGTGTACCTCTAATGCCTGCCCCATCGGAGAAGGCGTTCTCTGTGGTGCCGGGAACACCGGAATTGGAGAGACAATGAATGGGGACGAGTACTCTTTACAGATGAGAGCAGATTCAGTCTGAGTAGCGATTCTCATCGCATACTCATCTGGAGAGAGCGGGGAAGCCGCAATCATCCCTCGAACATCATTGAAACGGACAGGTATGGAGGTGGCGGTGTTCTCGTTTGGGGATGCATAATGCCTGGTAGTAGTACAGACCTTCACATCTTCGACGCAGGTTCAGTCAACGGGACCCGTTATTGTAACGAGATTCTTCTTCCATATGTGCGTCTTTCTAGAGGCGCTACGGGTCCGCAGTTCCTTTTCATGGACGACAATGCACCATGTCATCGCACAGTAGCTGCCGAACAGCTCTTAGAGAGTGAGGATATTGAACGTATGGATTGGTCGGCACGATCTCCGGATCTCAATCCCATCGAGCACGTATGGGATTTTCTAGGCAGAGGCTTGGCAGCTCGTACCTTACCACCAGTAACGATTCCGGAGCTTCGATTGGCGCTGCAAGACGAATGGGCAGCAATGCCCCAACAACTCATTGACACCCTCATTCTCAGCATGGGCAGACGCTGTGAAACCTGCGTAGCAGTCAGGGGAGATCATATCCCCTATTAAAGACCGGATGTATCTTGCTGGACACCCATCACAGGGATGTTTTGGCCTTCAGTCGCATTGCGCTCCATGCTACTTTTTCAATAAAGCTTCTTTTTATCCCTCTGATTTCTCTTTTAGTAAGTGTTGCTTACATTACTCATGTCCTTACGTATTGGGGATCTTACGGTATTAAATGTGTTGAATTGGAAAGCTTTTGTACAAAGTTATATTGAAAAACCGTCTCGTCCTTAATTTTTGCACACCAGTGTATTTGATCTACCTTCGCAATGAAAATTTTCAGAAGAAATCGACGATGTTTTTGTACAGAAAATTGCGTGACAAAATATTTTCAACCATCTTGCATGAATCTTAAAGCGCGTGAAAGGTCATGTGACATAACAGAAATATTATCGGATGCCCGTTGGTCCATCCTAGAAGCCACTCCCTCGGTGGCTACTCAGATGTGCACATGTGAAATATGCGACCGGTCAAAATCTGAGTAAGTTGAAAATGCCTACACTTAGTCGCTAAAAAAAGTTTTAACGACACGGTTTTTAAGTCGTTAGAAAACACTTGGGAGAAATCTCTTAGGCCATTGGGCCTTTGAAAAAGCATCCAATCAACCACAGTTTTCCTCCAAGCCATGTGCTTCCAACAAGACTTGGGAGCAGACAATATTAAATCAATCTCACGATAAGTCGCTTGCTTAGCCAAATGGTCAGCCCTCTCATTACCGAGATTATGATACATTTTAGTAATGTCATGGGATTTGGGGTACCAAGCCTTCTTAAGAATGTTACAATCAACGCTTACTCTTTGAATACTAGTATTCTGCTTATTTTTGGTGTGAATTAGCATTTTGTTGTTCATTAAAGTATTTTTTTTTTCTTTTTATTTAGAGGACATTTAGATAAACTTTTAGAATATTGCGAAACTGGTGTCAAAGAAGGAGCGAAGTTAGTTTTAGGTGGAAAACGAGTAAACAGGCCAGGTGAGTGTAACAATATCATTACAACACAAATGAATATGCTTTCTTTTTACATTGTTTAAAACACGTATTTGAATGCTGGTTAGTGATTTTCAGTTATCAAAAGAGTGTTCTTGAATGTTATCAAATAAGATTAATTAACAGTTATGGACTTCTTAGTCCAGACTCCTATTAGGCTGCTATCACACATCGGTTTATTTCGGAATAACAACTGTTTGGAACAATTTTTCTGCTTTGTCACAACAGCCAATCACCATAGATCGCTTTGAGGTTAACGCGGGAGAAACTGATTCCCCATTACAAATAAGCTGATAGCTGATTGATTGAAAACGAACAACTTGCAATTTTTTTCGAAAGGAAGGAAAAAGTTGCACGTCTTTCTTTCAATAATAAACCAGGCAGAAAAATTGTCCGAAAGAGTTATTCGTGGGAAACAAACGCCCTGTGATACGGGCCTTAGACGTAAAACCATTTTGCGCTAAATATTCCTTGTGATTTTTAGGTCTAAAACAGACGAATTGTTTATGTTATTAGGTAAAAAGAGTTCGCATTTTATGATGAAATAATTTAATGTAGTATTATTTCTAGACACAGATTTTGGTTTCACATCCTAACTAAATGCAGTGCCTGAATTACTTACTATGTATGGTTTTCTCTAAAACGATTTACATATTAATTTTTAAATCCTTCAACAAATCTATCAGTCTTTTTACAGCTCTGGTAATTCGACTGGAGCTCAAATCTCGCTGAACGAGTTGGCTGTGTACAGAGTTTCGTGATTTTTCTCATGTGTAGCGTGAATACAAAACAGACAGAACGAAAACAGAATCATTTATTTTTTCTCATTTATTAAATAAAATTACGTTGTTTTTAATCAAAGTCAGAAAAGTCTTATCAAAGTTTCCCCCCCCCAAAAAAAAAACTAAAATTCGATGTAATGAAATATTAAACAAATAGTTTTAATTTTACTCAGATATTTACTTCTGTATAATATAAAATTTTCATTTTTAGGTTACTACATGGAGCCAACTATATTTACCGAAGTACAGGACCATATGTACATTGCCAAAGAAGAGTCATTTGGACCCATAATGATTATTTCTAAATTCAAAGATGGGTTAGTAGCATATTTAATATCTATTACCCAGTTTGTGATGTCTATTAGAATGATTTCTTATCCAACATTTTCGCCATTGGAAATTCGGTACTTTTCCCTTAGCCAGGAGCAAAGGTCGTTAATAGCAGAGTTCGGCCATTTTGGCGATGGCGCATCACGCCAGTCTTAGTTGAAAAATTGTAATGCTTTTATATGTACAAAAAATACGAACATATTCGAAAAATGAAATAAAAATCACGCACGTATGTTTCCATCGACTGTTAAAATTGGCCGATATCCCAGGCCTTTATACATTGCTTTTTGTTTCATTAGATAATCAACAGATACAAGTTACGTATATAGCTTAAAAATGTATTTACATATTAACCCGTCGACCGTGAAAGTTGGCTACTATCGAGCTATGAAAGTTGGCGAAGATCGTATCAAAGTTGTGCTTCCGTTTCTGCGCAATTCTGAAGCAATGGAGTGTAAATATTTGAAAAACAACCAGTACTCAACCCGTTTCGTTTCTGCATTTCGTAAAAAGGTTTTTGTTATATTCAGGTTCCTCGATTCTACCAAATACTACTCTGTTGGCTGCAGGTATAAATTTCGTGTGCAAGTAATTGTTTCATTCACTGTTTTATCGTTCACTGAATGTGGTCGATTCTTTTGTCGACCACATTCAGCTAGGTAGGTACCCGCGTTCGAATTCCGGAGAAGGCGTGGATGTTTGTAAATGTACAGTGTTAGTGCGGCATGAGGGCGCTCTAAATGAGGCTCTCTGACAACCGAAAATCCTCTCCAGAAGTTGATGGGGGGAAGAGGGGTGGAAGACTATCGAACCCGTCCCCCCGGGGTGCTCTCCATCAAAATCGGGGGGGGGGGAACTGAGCTAAATCGCTCTGTCACCTGAATGGTGCTCAAGGCTGTTGCCAACGGCGGGCGTAATCTTGCGCTCCTTGCCACGAGGAATTTTGTGGGCTTGGGCTGACTACGTCAGCAAGTGAGCATTAGTAACAGCAATAACAACTTAACGTATTAACGCAAACACTTTGGCGCAATTGTCATATTACAGATGAAAAGGTAAAAGTTACTTATTGGGTGCAAGTTAGTGGTTTTAGCGTCTTTTTTTAGAGAGATTCCCAAATGACCGACATTTATCATAAGTCGGTAAATATTATCAACATATGAAGACATACATTAGCATTTTACAATACAATTTTGAATTAGTAAAGAAATGCGTGATACATTAAAAAAATTAAAATAAATTTTTCTTTAAATCTTTCTGCAATTTGTTTTGCGCTATTATTTTCTTGAGGTACACTGCGATCTGTTTTCCCATAAGAAGATTTCCATGATAAGAAAAGCACTAGGAAATTTCGAAAGCTCGGCTTCGTGCAATCCTCGGTAACAGCGACTATCTAGGAAGGGCATTTCTCAGTTGCGCCCTTTAGAAATTGTTCAGCAAAATTCTATATTCCTGCAGAAATTTTACCGCAGTTTCTTCCATTGCTGGCATATTTCAGAAACTCAAGGCACAAAATATCATGAATTGTGTATAAAAACCCTTGGAACATGGAATACAAGAAAAAGAATGCATACGAAATTGAGGCCTTTGCTTGACTGAAGGAACGTTGTGAGCATGGTTGCCAGAATTTGGCGCATTCTGAAGATTTCGCGATTTCTACTAAAGTGGTTGCTTAATATTCGTAAGTACTTTTAGCTGGCCATATCATGTCCATTAATCCGCACGTTTTTGATGGCAGCGTTCTACAACTTTGTAATTAATTCACTGTTTATTAATCAGTAGAAGATAGGTCCCACATTTTAATAATTTTTTCAATATAGAAGGAAAAAGCATAGCAGTAACCGTTAATTTATATACATTTTTTAATAAAAACAAACGGTTTCTTATCGATAATAAAACGGGTTGTACGAAACAGAAGCGCAGATGTTATGAGTGTGTTGTTACGTCCGTTAATTCACAACTGGAGATGAATCGAGCTGTTTGGCGACAGTTTCGTGGTCTACGGGATAATATGTAGGTACCAAAAATACTGATATAATGTGAGCTGAAGCTCTAGAGAATTATATGATAAACAGTGGTTGACCGTTCATGAATTTTAGCCTTTTTTCGCTTTAAGTGATTGTGTTGTTTGTGATATTTATCTTGTATTAAGAAGAATTTTATAGTATTTTCCTGGTATCCTTGAGCTCCTTTTTAGCGATTTTAATTCCTCTATCAAAACCGTAATCGCTTCTAGCTGGAATACAATTTCAGCCAGAGGCGATTACCGTTTTGATAGAGAAATAAAAATGGCTAAAAAGCTGTTCAAGGATACCAGAAAGATAACGATATAGTATAACGATGTTCCATATTTGCACTTTGGCAGCTGAGGAAAAAATATGGTTCAGTAAAACCATAGCAACTAGTCCTGTGAAAATTTGCAAATTTTCGCTGAACGAAATTGCTGATTTTTGTTGTTTGACTTAATTTTGTTGTTTTGTTGTTTGACTTAATTTTGTTGTTTTGTTGTTTGACTTAATTTTGTTGTTTTGTTGTTTGACTTAATTGAAATTAATGGATTTCAAGTTTTTTTTCTTCGTATGGCAGCGTATCCGCAATCTATTAATTAACTACTGCAGTAGTTCAATGCAATTTTGAAATAATAAATATTTTGCTTTCTTAATACTGTAAAACAGTTAACGCTTTCGTCATACTAACCATTTTTTAATTACAGGGATGTGAATGGTGTGCTTAAACGAGCCAATGCTACCGAGTATGGTTTGGCTTCTGGAGTGTTCACCCGTGATCTCTCTAAAGCCATGTACGTCAGTGAAAAAATTGAAGCGGGAACGTGCTTCATCAATTGTTATAACAAAACGGATGTTGCGGCGCCATTTGGAGGTTTCAAGCAATCAGGCTTCGGGAAAGATTTGGGTCAGTTTTATATTTTTTACCTATAACTGCTTGTTTTCGGTTTATCTACATTTAATTATGTTATAGGATTCAAAAGTTTTAAAATTTTATCTCTAAAATTCCATAACGTGTATATTTAAAAAACCCGATCCAAAATCTCTTATTTCTTGAGCGATGATATCATTTTTCCAATCACTAAGGACTAATCAGGCTTACAACTTCCGACCAGAACGTATTTTTAGAATCGCGTTTGAATGCAAACTGTATTTAACTGTGAAGTTCTACTGACTTCGTTAGAGAGAACCAGTGATTCCGATTAGCGTGCGTTCGCCTTTTTAGGCGGCTCTCTCTTAAGCTATTATTAGGCTCGGTCGTACTTTACGCCCTTGATAGCTCCGCCGTTATTTAGCGTTAAGGGGCCAACTCTGTTAGAATCTTGATAGCTTCGGCTATATCTTTTTAGTTGAGTTTTAGTTCCTAATTTCCTAAGTTCAAGCCTGAGTTGAGGCTTTATTGTAAAACTCCAAGAATGAGTTCTGTTAAACTTTATTGGAATGATAAAGGGTAATTTCACCCTTCGTACATTTTGTTCTCTGTCTGATGAACTCAAGCGATTATTCGCTTGTAAGTTCTTAAGATTCTTCAACTTTAACTGAAAAGTACACAGGTTAGAATCTTACAGTATAATTATCGCATAGCTCAAGGCAAAATATGGGCATACACCTTCCGTCCATGAGGCGACAGTGGTCGTCAAAATTTGCCACCTGCCAGTCACACGGGCTGCCAGTCTCCCAAAGACATTACCCAGAAAAACTAGGGCGCCACCCCCCAGGCAGAACCCGGAACGCCAGGCCGAACTACTAGAACCTTAAGACGTGCCATAACCACTACCCGATCGATAAGGGATCTTTCCGGGGCCTTTGAACCATTAGGTTCGTTATTTGTATACCGCCGTAGCCGAGACTGCCTAGTTACAGATCCTACCCAGTAGCTTCGCAGAGTTTTCTACGTCGATCTCCGGGGGGCGGAATCGCATAGCTTAAACTGAACTTCATATTGCTAGGCAGGCAACGAGATTTCGCGATGTTATCAAATGTAATAAAAGGATTTGTGTTTGAAAGTTCTAAACTTTTGCACTTTGAGCTCAGACTCATGCGAGGTGGAAAACCAACCATCACAATGAAATGCGGGACATCATTTTTGATTTGCGTGAAGTACCATTGTTTATTTAGTTAATTATTGCGTGGGCAATATACGGAAGAGATGATATGCCCCGTGAAAGTTTTTTTAAGATAAACTGGTTCATATGAACGTTACACGTGGGGAAAAACACGAAACCGCCCATGCAAGCTAGGCCGTTTGCCGGGACTCAAACCTTGGTCTGTACTACCAGCGTCCAGTGGCTTTTATCGCTCTGTCGCTAGTAGGTCTCTTACCACTGAAAAACACAAATAGTCAGCCCGTTCGTGGAGATTCAAACCAGAGTTGAACTAACATTGTTTAGTGCTCGGCTGCTAGTCGGCAAGGGTCATTGTTTGGAATGCGTATGAAGTTTGATGAGTGCATTATTTTTGATAATGAAACATGAAACCATTTAGTGTTTTATTTGCATTATATTAAAGCGTAAAATTGCCTGAAGTTTTGGTGGGACAACGGCACATCTTTCGTTCTGAAATCACCAGGACAAATTAGGGGAAAAAAAGGGATTATTTGGAATTTGCCAAGACTTGGAATTCACTATAAAAATATAAGCAAATTCAAACACTGATGAGGTTACCATTCTGTGGGCTGGTTGTGAAATGCACTATACATTTCCAGATTTTTTGATACTTTGAGTTCCCTTGGTTTTGTTATACTATAGCTTTTTAGTTACTCGGAAACTCGGGCTTTGGGGACCCAGTTTTAATGTGCAGTTAATTTAGCTTATTATTAGTCCAAAGGGATTTGAATCCCGAAGGACTATTAGTTTCGTTTTGGCATTTTGCGTCGGACTCATAAATGTCGGTTCACTTTTCAAACTGTTGCCACAAAATGTTAAGAGTCCTGCATTATATTTGAAGAAATTAAATAATGAAAAATCTTCATAAATGTATGTATATTTCTCGTATTGTGATAAAACAACGGTACATAGAGTCATCGAATTTTGAATAACGTAATCCTCCAACGAATATGAGCATGTGGAAGACCAAATTTGAAATTTGAAATTTGTTTTATGATCGATTTCCTATTTTTTAAAACTTTGACGAATTTTTGATTAACAAACTCAAGGATTTCAAAGCGAGCAATGGCAACGTTGTGCAGAAAAAAAAAACATTTTTATCTCCAGCGCGTGAGTCTCTGTATCGGAAATTCTAAAGATATGCTCGTTTTAAAACTATTTTGCGATATTGCTGTTGCACTGGATCTTATGGTTTAAGTGCGAGGAACATGATATTTAATAAAGAAAGGTAACACACAAAATGTTAAAAAACGCCCCTTTGGACGTAATTTAAAATCTGAAACATTTCAGTTTTTTTTTTTTTTTTTTTTTTTTTTTTGTTTTTGTTCCTGCTCAGTCAATAAGATGGGGAACCACGGATCTCTGGTTGCCGTCGTTTTGGTTTGGAGGGGGGGGGATATGACCTATTTATAATCATACGGTCCTGGTGTGACGAGGTGGATTGGGTCTCCCTCGTATTGTGACCTTGTAAGGTTTATCTATTTAAAAGTTATTTTAGTAATAGAAAAATTGTTTTTAATTGTTTTAAGGATAAGAGTAAAGACTTAGTAATGAATATTTATAAGTGATGCCCTCAGGGCTCCTGCAGTGCTCCCCTGCTCTGGAACACTATTGCGGATAACTTGCTGAAGCAGAAGTTTCCTCAAAATGTGGAATTAATTGCATATGCTGATGATATTATGATTCTTATAAAACACGATTCCTTTGAAAAATGGAAAAATTATTTGATGAAACTGCTCTAATACTGAGTAATTGGCAAAATAAAGAAAAATTACAATTTAATATTTCAAAAACATGTGCATTGTTTTTTCCCAGAGGAGGAAGCTGTAGCCTTGCCTGTGTTGGTTTGCTGCCTCTCTCAGTTTATACGAATTTTATTATGAGAAATTTTTATTTAGAACTGGATGAATGGAATTGAAAATATATGAAGATTATTCGGTTACAAAGAATGTTTTTGAAAATTTAATATTCATTTAATACATCCTTCCAATAGATTTGTTTTTGTTTTTGATAAAAGTAATCCAATTGTTGATGTATTTGATATTTATACAGATGGTTCTGGGGTCGGAGGGAGCGTAGGAGCTGTCATTGTTGTTTTTTTCTATGGAACTGAGGTGGATTGTAGAATGTTTAAGTTGAATATATATAATTCAGTTTTCCAAGCAGAAAGTGAAGCGTTCAAACAAGCCCTATTATGGATTAAAAATACCTTGTTTATACCCACGTCTGTAAATATTTACACTGATTTCCTGTCACTTCTCCATGCGCTCTTCCGCCCAGACAATTTAAATCCATTAATTGTCGAAATTAAGATTTAAATATGAACTCAATGTTTCCAATTGTCGAATTAGAAACTTTGAGTTCATATTTAAATATTAAGCTACATTGGGTTAAAGCCCGTTTGGGCTTTATTGGCAATGAGAGGGCCGACAGCCTGACCAAGCGGTCTCAAATGTCAGTGCAATGGATATTGAAGTAGCAGTTTCGAAGAGATTTGCTATTCGAAGATTGAAAGAGTTTTACGTCAACAAATAGAAAATACAGTTGTTCCTCTTCACCTAAAAGGAAAGGATTTATGGAACTAATCAAAATCACGAATAAAATGAAATGTATGAACAATATTGACGTTAATCAGGTTTTAACTGGACATGATAGGTTTCCGTTCTATTTCAACCGATTTAATCTGCAGGAAAATAAACTATGTAACAGTTGTCAGGTTGATGGTGATGCTAGGCATTTTGTGGTTGATTGTAGTTTAACAGCCCCTATTAGACAGATTTTTAACATTACCGATTTTAATGCAAGTGCCATTAATTTAAAGTTTTTAAATCATATAGCATTGCTCTAATGAAGCCGTAAGCTGAAATTAAGGAAAGAAAGTAACTTTAATTCAAAATTAACTGTTAGAAAAATTAAGATAAACCTTACAACCTTATGAACATAAAAATATCCATTATCAGGTAACACGAAAAGTTCGTCACGCTCGTCTTCCGTTATATCTTCAGGCGCATCATCGAATTTCCTTCATCTTCACCATCGTTGTTACTCTGATCCATAAATAAATGATCATCATCTGTTCCATCTTTCACCAACAACAAACACCCTTGCATTTTTTTTTTCGCAAATGAATGGCTTTGCATTTTAAACGAGCACTGAGCACGGGAGCCATATTTACTACTAAAAGGAACACTACTTCAACTGTATTTTAACTAAAGAGAATGCGATTTACTAAAGCTTTCGATTTTTACTTCAAAATCACGGCTTCAAATGATTACAGAAAGAGAAGACATCTAACTCCCAATTCCACGAAACTCATTCAGGTTGGAAGTGCATTCTTACTCCAGATTATATCTCCCTTTTCTAGGCAACCCTAAAATAGCATTCTTTTGGACTGCTGCATTGAATACAATCCTACGTCTTTGCAGGAATATTTAGTTCTTCAAGTATTTAACCTTTCCCTTTATTGCTTCTTATTTCGGCATACCATTTTTCGAAAGGCTAGGATAAGTCTCCGAATAAGTGACATCAAAGGATGAAAGCATTGCGCATGTATTTTTCAGGTTTCTTCGTGAAGAAATGGATGCGCGTTATACGGCGAATATACCTAAAAACTAAAAAATGTAGCTTGAAATTATAAGATGCGCGTTATACGCCTGAAAATAAAATACGGTACATGCTTGTAAATTCACGGATGAACACAGTTCTCTAACTTTTGGATCCTATGAAAAATATTTGCTTTTACCATGAATAAATGTGCATATGATGATATGTATGTATATTATTTTTCAGGAGAGGAAGCGTTGCATGAATATCTTCGAATTAAGTGTATAACTATGGAATATTGAATCGGTCAAGCATGCCCCTATAGAAGGTACTCGACTATATTTTCTTAGTCACAAAACTGCAAAGAACTATGTACTCGGCATGGCTGAACCTTTGTATCGAAAATTAACTCTGCTAAATATTTTACAAACTGCAGGAATAGCTGTAAATATATAAATTAAGAAGCAAGTTCCCGTTTATTCAGTATTGGAAATGTGCAAAGAAGGGAGTACAAGTTGTGATTCAAAATATATACTTTTCAAGCGCTGTATATGTTTAATGGAATAAATGTATTTTATTGTAAATTTTGATTTCGATTTGTACTTAATCTGTTGGCTGACATAAAAATCGAAAGCTTTGTAGCTAAGTAAGGAAGCTTACAATTCGTTTGAGCAATTCAAAGGAGCTAACGAATATCCGTAAGCGTTATGCAGTTTAGATTTAATTAAGACGAAGCATAAATCCTTCAGTGTGCTGGCATAAAAATTCCCTTACATGCTTTATAGCTATGTAAGGGAATTTACAATTCATCTAAGCAACTCAAATGAGAAGAGTTATGCAGTTAAGATTTAATTAGGAGGACACATAAATCCTTCAGTGCATACAGCTTCAAATGCTTCAGTGACATGAATGGCTTTGTAGCTAAGGAAATTAACAATTCATGGATTTCAGAGGGATCAGTTTCTATTTGTCTGGTCTTATTTCACTTAGATTTAACCATAAATTAGGATCCATTTTGAATTTTGTTTCGTATTTATTTTTTAAATATAACATGGAAGAAAATACTTGGTTAAACAAACAGGTAGTTCAAAATGGCAATAAAAATTTAATAGCTTTATTTAAAATGACTTTTAATTTTTTTTTTTTTTTTTCCGATTCTTCCAAAAGTGAACAGGTGTGTTATTTTTGAAATCTTCCGTTAGAGTTTAATCACGGAAAGTTTCTATCAGTTGTTCTTTGAAAAATACATCTTGAGTTTATTTGTCAATGAATAACAATGAGTGTTAATGTCAGATGCTAATTTTGCTTTTATTTTCAAATTATTTTCGGTTAGACAACTTGTAGAAACATTTTTTTGGAAGCAGTAAAGATGAAAAATTAGCAACGCCTTCGCTGGGAATCGAGCCGCGGACCTCTCAATTACGCGCTGAGTGCGCAGACCACTACACCCCGAAGACACGCCGGGAAGGCGGGAGAAATACCTTATATACTTCCCTTTTCAAAAAAGAGCGACTGGGGTTTTTAGGGGACACAATCGCCAAATCCTGTGTGGAAAAAATCATCATCCAACACCCTTTTAGTTCGGGTGCCACTGTAGAGACAGGTATTTTTTTGGTATGCAAAAGAGGACGACTTTGTTTAACTTCGGGTAACGACATTTTTTTTTCCTTTTAAATTTAAATAGTCCAGCAAAACTGGGTTAATTCAAGATTCTGATTTGGATTTGAGAACAAAATTACAGTAGAACTCCAACTACCCGAATTAACTGGGACTGGACCCCCTTCGAATAATAAACAATTCGGAAAATTGGGATTTCTTCCAAAGAAAGGGTTTACGTACACTTTAATTAATTATTGTCCGTACTAGCTGTATGCTGAAAATGGAAGAAAAAAATACTTTTAAAGAGAAAGAGGTTTTAATTAATAAACATAAAAAGGCAACTCTTTTACATGCATGTAGCGAACCGTACAGTACGTACAAGTGCTTGAAAGTCATTGCTGAACATCTCGTTCTAAGTAAACTGTTTCACTGTCTTCATCCGTTTACTGGCAGCCAAGTCGCACGTCCGCTCGACAATGAGAAGTTGCATGTGGTCATACTCAGGCTGACACTCAGCTGTCTCGCTGTCCCTCTATGTCTCTTGTTTCTCCATTTAGCACTGCCCCACATTCTCTCACCTGTTTGTGTATGAACTCCTGTATCAGGATCAATAAAATTACATTCATGATTAACTTTAGCGTGTCCAACTGTCAGAATAAATTGTGCTACCATCTACAATGTTATCAATAATTTTATTAAGAAGTGTAGAGCCAGTTTTATTAGGAACAGTCACAACAAACGAATTTTTTGCTTCTCTACATATACCACCAACCACCCACTGTTCGGGTAATACTCGACCGCAATTATTTTTACGCTTAGTAAACAAGCTTTCATCAATTTCCACAATGCAATCTGGTCCACCTACCTTCTCGTTTGGTTTATTCGCCATAGCCAAGACACATAATTCACGCATGTAATTGTTCTAATCTATAACAGTTTTATCCGATAAATCAAGTTGTTTTCCACAAAATTTAATTGACGTCAACTTCGCGCACCAGCAGTATATGAATCTCAAAGCTGAACAAAATGGAATTCTGTTTCCTTCAAACCAGTTGTCTTTTCTAAGTCCCACTTGCTGATCACACTGTCTTAAATTACATTTCCAAAACATACGTTTATCAAAATAAAATTTCATATCATGCAAATTGGTGCATTTTCGTTTTTTTTTTTTGGGGGGGGGGGGGGTAAAATATTTTGGGATCCGGCAGGTTACGGCCCAATTTAAGCTCTGATTGTAGGGCGGGAAGTTCTTTTATCATCACAAAAATTAAATATGCTTAAAATATAGCTGATGAAAATTCAGATAGGGTGAAACAGAATGAGGGTGTGTGGAAACAAAAAATGACAGGAATCTTGGTGACAGAGAACGTTCTCTTTGACTGCCGCTCTCTGCTGATATAATTATAGCCATCAAGCAGATGTGTGTCAGGGGTAAAATGAGCCCTGGATCTGACTTCTAAGGTTGAATGTAAAGTTGCTGGTTATGCTTTTTGTCCCCCCCTGTATTTGGTTACATTAGTGGATACTGTGGGAAGACGATGTATAGGACGTGCTTGAACGGTTTATCTCAGTATTTTACTCTTATTGTACTCGCCGTCACATAACGCACATTTAAGAGCACAAAGTTTCCTTCCTGTGAGGATAACTAACTGTAACCATCGATAACAATATACTAGATATGATGGCATGGGGAGAAATACAGGCGTTCCTAAACAAACTCCCCAAAATTTATTGCCTTCTTAAAGGGAAAAGTTTCCGCATGTGAGTGAGGGGACTTTATTTGAACGTCTCACGAGTTTGTATTTCTAGGGAAATAGAGTATTGCAAGGTCTGCTTATTGTTAAACTAAAATGTTAGGAATTCTAAATTTTTTCCCTTGAAATTGTGGTTCAGTTTTATAAAAAGAAGCACCGGAGCTCCTCTTATCTAGGGCTCTGGTGTGCTACGGCTAGAATTGTAATTTACTTTAAAAATTAAGAAGTACCAGAGCCAAGCACCGGCGCAATTTAAGCACTGGATATGTATATTACTTTGTTTTGAATTTAAAAATAATAAGTAGCGTTCAGCAATATATTTGGTATCCAGTGCATTTAGTACATTATTTCGCTGCGCTTGCAAAGTACTTTTTTATAACATGTTGCTGTTGACTAATGCTCACTTGTCTGACCTATAGTCAGCCCAAGCCCACGAAATTCCTCGTGGCAAGATACACCTGTCGTTGGCAACATCCTTCATCCCCTTACCTTGATTTAGCTCAGTTCCCCCCCCCAATTTTGATGGAGAACACCTTGGGGGACGGATCCAAGCATCTCCCACCCTTCTTCTTTTACCACCAACCTTTCAAGAGGACTTTTACCTCGCATATTTAGAGTGCCCCATGCCGCACAGACATTATACATTTACAAACATCCATGTCATCTCGCACAGACATTATACATTACAAACATCCATGCCGTAGGGCTCAGGATTCAAACCCGAGCCCTATGGCATGACAGTCAGTAACGCTAACCATTATACCATTTGGGCGGCTTTTAATAACATAAATGTTATAAATGTTCAAAAATATCACTGGTTTAAAAAGTTAGAATTTGAAAAGAACACTTATTTTTTTTATAAATATTTTAATTTACACCGCCACTATTGGCTTTAGGCCCATACAGTTATTGCGAAGACACGGTAAGTACCTACGAATATTTCTCGTCGGAAAGCGTATAAACATATTCTTCAATCTGCAGCTTGTTTGCATGCGGCATTTAGAAAGAAAAGTAAACTTAACAGTAGCAGACGATATTTCTCATTTCATGTAATAAGCTCTTGCCAGAAATTGTTATTCCAAAACATCTTTTTATTTTTAATTCTTTATCAAAATCATTCTAAAAAATGTGTAAACATCCTTTGTATTTCGCACTTATTCATTTAGCAGCATGAAATGTAGTACATCATACAATATACTTTATTATTACTTTATTTAATGTTGATAATGTATCAATAAAATTTGATGGATTATTTTACTCAAATAGTCTGTCTTTTGCAGTATTCCATATGATTTCAGCTACTTGTGTTAAATAGGTTACATTAGTTGTGGCTACAGGGGCACCAGAGTAATTTTTTCTCAAAATAAATCGAGGAAATAAAAGTCTGTGGCATAAAATTTTTGTTCAGCATCCACAAATAATTCTGTGATGCTATGAAGAGTTTGTACATAATAAAAAAGATTCTTTTATCCCCCCCCCAGTAATAAGCAAAATACTTTTAATCAATTTCTGAACCATAAAAATACTAAGCTAAAGCTCAAAATAAAACTGTGCAACAAAATATACTATTAAACAATACAAAAATTTATCTCTTATAAATATTGATAACATTTATAAGCATTTATAACTTTATAAATATTGAAATTTTATTTATGACATGAATTTTGAAATTTTAATGAAAAAATAACGTTTATAAAAACACCAAAATGTTTATTTCACAAGTCAAACAATACTTAATAATCAGAGTTTTTTTCTCTCTAAGTCACATGTAGTCCAGCTCTATTTCAATAAATGCAGGAGTCATATTCAAGTTTCGATGCAGATAATGCTTAACAACACATATTTAATATTTTACAGTTAGGTTTGCCAACTCATTCAAGCTTCCAATTTGTTCTGCAGCCTGGAACGTTCAGTATCAAGGACTCAAATCTGCTTGCCAACAGTAATTAAGAAATAAAATATTTTATCGCCCCCGCAAGTAATGCATAATAAATGCTAAAAAACAGATAAATTCATAATTATTGATTTGCATAACATATTATTAATATTACAGCATAATAAATCCTATTAGCAAAAAATACATTTAAAGGAACTTAATTAAACAGTACCATTTAAAAACTTTTTAATGTAAAGTAAGACAAATTATATTAACTTCCATTGTCTTCATTCTTAACTAAAACATTTTTATCTCAAACTACAAAGATTATTCAAATTAAACTAAGAAATAATCATACATAATTATATATATTTGATAAACACATATTATGCATGCAAAATACATATTTTGCAACAACCTTCATCATAAGTTGGCAAACCCTCGAAATATGATATATATATATAAATATGGTTATGTATATAGATATACTATATATTTATACTTACTTATATATTTTCTTATATATCAATACTTTGCCAATCACTTCAGCACAGAGATAAAAACAATGATTAAAAAAATGCATTGTATAATATGTATACTCTTTACTGCTGTAACCACAGTCACAATATGCTTCGGGCATATCTCATTTTGATTTATTGCACACATATATACTACATCTGTCAGATACCCAGACAACTCCTTAAAATGAAATCATAGATTCAGCCACAACAGAAAATGGTTCATTTCAACAATCATACCACGATCAACAACAATTATCTGGTGAGACAATTCGTCTCTATATATATATAAGAGGATTAGATAAATTGCATCAATAAAAATTTAACAGCTCATAAAGAGCACGAGATAAAAAGAGTTCAATGTATTTTGACATCATGGTGAAAAATATTGAAAATCAAGGCACAATCAAAAGTGAAAACTGCACAAGAGTTTGATTTTCATTACTTTGTAAATGATAAAAACTTAATTATAAATAAGAACAAATTAAAAAACTTCATGCTGTAGCAAGTTCACCATAACTATCTATAAAAATATCCATAATATCTTATAAAATTTTTGCTTTTGATTTTACATCTAGAGCGAGTTCAAAACTTAAACTTTTAAATAGCAAACTCTCACTTTTAAACAATGAAGACCTATTAACACAATTTGAAGCAATAATCTAATCAACAGACTAAAATTTATTTTAGAGGTTTTGAGAAAGGTATCAAGCAGGAAATGGCTTATACACTTAGTTACTAGAAAAAACTACACTTATTACTAATTTAGAAAGTTACATAAATATGTACTTTAAACACAATTACTATAAACGTAATTTCTGTACTCTAAACAAAAGATTTTAGTTTGGTTTGATTAATTATGGCAAAGCCTGGAGGGCTATCTGGCTAAGGGAAGGGATGCCTTTGTGGAGGACTTTCTAAAGGACACTGGCTCGTGTACACGTTACACGGGAAAAAACAAAAACACCCATGCAGCCAGCCAGTTCGTGGGACTCGAACCTCAGACCAAACTACCAGTGTTCAGCGATTTTACCGCTAGTGGGCCTAAACAAAAGGGAATTTAAGCTGAAAAATGGAAAATTTTATTAATTAAATCTATGGAAATGTTAAAAGAATAGCAATACTTTTCTTTGTTATATTCAAATATAATAACTGCAATAACAAAAATCTCTCTTGTAAGTTTCAGTATATAAAACACTGCTTATAAATAAATACAATGCAATTTTGTTTAATACTATTTGTATGTTTTGAGACTTTAAATGCTTTATAATAAAAATATAATTGACTTTTTAATTTACGTAACATTCAGTCTCGAATATTATTTATATATTTCAAGACTAAATGCTTTAAAATGAAATGAAGATTAACAACTAATTTTTTAATTTATTTATGTAACATTCAATCTCAGAAGTAAAGCATATTAATAACTGCAATGCTGTACATAGATGTTTTCAAAATATTTTATACCTTACACAGCTTCGTTCAATATTCTAAACTGAAATTATCTAAGAATATTTTTCAAGTACAATATCTTTTGCTAAAATTAAAATTCAGTGAATACTTTTTTTTAAATAAAAGATACAGACTGCATTTCATTTGAAGAACTGGTGAACATATTACACATGAAGCTTTGTAAGTAAGTGGTATAACATATCATTCTATACTTAATGCTACTATATGGAATGGTAGTCATAGATGTTTCTTTTGGAATTATTCATAAAACACTCATCTACTCTGCTTTTATAAAGTTTAAAAAAGAGCTTACAAAAATTTAGCCTAATAAATATTCATCTATTCAACATAAAATCTATACACATGAAATCTCACAAAATATTTTCAAAAGAAAATTATACCTAAAAGCCACAACAAAAAGGTACTAAAAAGGTAAATAATCTATTAGTAAAGAAAAGGTGGATTCAAAAATTTGAAGCAGATTTCTGGATTCAGGGAAATTTTCTTGAACAATATTTTCTACAATATATGGCATGCCATAGAACTATTTGAGACACACAAAGCAGTTTCAAACTAAAGCACACTTTGTAATGGGAAACTGAATTGCTATATACAAAACTATCTATAGATTTATAAAGATGAAATTTTACAAAGAAAGATGAAACGAAAAATGTACAAATATGATAAAATGTATTTCTTAAGACATGTCAAATAAATGCCCATTTCAAATAGTGCAAAATATTTGCTAGAATAATTGTTCACGATGACATACAAGAAAATCAATTCTATACATGAAACTATACATGAAATGATATACAATCCATTAAGATTGCATACTCTACGAAGTGTGTTCCTCGTTTTATTGATATTTATAAAGAAAAAGCGTATGCAAAGAGAAACAGCCAAATCGGAACAAAGTGAGTTAAATTATTATCTTTTTACAATCATAATTTAGTGTATTTTTATGTCTACAACATTGGACCCACAAGTAAAAGATCAACAAGACAGGGAAAATAATTAGCATTTTTTAAAGTTCTATGAGTAAAAAGGTAGGGAAATAGCATTAAAGTTCTGGAGCGATAAGTTAAAATTCCTACTTACCATATAAAACATTACCTCTCTGCAGTTTCATCACAAGTAAAGGCAAAGATAAAGAAACAAATCATGTGCCTACATATTTCATTATAATTTCAGCTCTTGATACAAATGTATCTGAGGAACAAACTAAAAAATACGTCTTAAATTATTGACTGACATTTTTAACAGTGAAAGCTGTTTGAAACAGAATACTATGCAAATGAGAAAAATCCCTTTTTCACTACAAAGGGATTGATATATATTCCTCAGTTTATATGATACCAGAATGCTGATGAATGACATTGTAATTCATCTTTTACAAATAGTTATTAAAAAAAAGAAACCTTCACTTTCATTAAAGTTCTAGAGGATTTTTCTTCTAGAAATTTCTAGGATGTCAAATATTGAGGTAAAAGCCTGCTTTTCAATGGACATTTGCAGAAGAATGTTATGATGCTAGAGCCACAATGACAAGAAAAAATAGTATTTTGTGCGAAATAACTGGCCCATTTGTCCACAGGAAAATCACTTTCATCTAGAAAGTTCTAAAATGTTCACTTTTCTTGGTCTTCTTCCATGGGTTCTTCAATTTCAACGGTTTCTTTAGTTTCTGCACTTCTGTAAAATCATACGATGATAATTGTACTGATTAATGCAATCATATTATTAAAAAAAATCAATAAATGGAAAACATAATTGAAGTTTTAAATCTTTTTTTAAAAATACATTTTTTTGAAGAATGCTGATGGGGAAAACCACAAAACTAATTCAGTTAATCCCACTACTCAATAGTTTTAACAACATGACCACTGACGAGCCTCTGATAAAATTTGAATAAATACATGCATGGATACTTGTGTTATAAGAATGAAAGTACAGCACTCTCTTGCTTAACACAGTTAATAAATACCTGTAAAATGCCATGTTAAAAGAAATCCTGCTCACTGAATGCAGAAAGGCATAACTCCAATTTATCTAACTTTTTTTCACTATTATTAAGCATATAAATCAGGAAACAGATGGTGATAAATTATGAATTTAGCCTCTATTAAAATGATATTTGAGTCACATTATTTAAAATTCACTGGATCTTAATCAAAAATAGGCTGCAATTAATAAACTGCATTAATTGAAAGCCATGATAATCGAAACCGTCTTAAATGAGGCAATCCCGTGTTTAAAGCAGAACTCAAAAAGACAGCAATAGTTGAATTTCAGATTTTTAGAGATGAGAAACATAGCAAGCTGTAAGATTCTGGGTATAAGTAATTTTCACCACTTTTTATTATTTTTACCTTAAATGCCTTAAAATCACTTTCTTAAAAAAAGAATAGCAGTAAAATATTACATATTTTAAAAAGCATTTACACTTTGAACTGGCTTCAAGTATTTTCAGAAGTAAAGTATTTTCATTTAATTAAGAAGAAAATTACATTCAAATTTAAACAGTTTAAATACCTATGGATAATGTTAATACTACTGAGAGACTCTTATTTTATAAATAATGTTTTATTTTCTAACGTCTATATTTAAGTTTTAGTTTTTTAATGCAGTAAGGTTTAAAATTTGGAAAATACTCAAATTTATAGCCTCTAATGACATTACTGAATCAATACTATTTTTTATTCATATTAATGACACTTTCTATTTATCAAAAGGAACTTTAATAAGAATAATATAAGAGAAAATTCTGAAATGTATTTTACTAGTAATTAAGTGAGTGCTATTTGAAGGAAAGGAAAACATACAATTACTTAAATTTTATGAGACTGAAAAATACAAAAATATCTTAAAGTGAAATGGCATTTAAAATTATAGACTTATAATTATTTTAGCTGTTTTCGTTTTTCATACAATTTATAAAATAAAAATATTAGATTGATTAATCGAGCTCTCGGCAAACTATGTACTTACAGGTGGAGCTTTTTTATTAATTTTAAAGTCACTTAATAGAATATAATACAATACCTTAATTCATGAAAGTTTTGTATCACGTACAAAATGGTTCACAAACAAATTTTCTAAACAAAAAATGAACAATATCTCGAGATACCAACAGTGAGCCAGCAACAAATGATATTCCCAAATGCAGTGTAGGAAATGTCTTCAGAAAAAGAAGATGAAAGAGAAGATGTTTCTATTTAACTGTCCACAAAATTTGTGCAAAATGGGATAAGGTGCAAATGTTTATAGAACATTATTACTCTGATAAAGCAATAGTAAGGCATTATACAAATAATTGCAATGACAATTTTTTATAAATTTCATAAATTTTTAGCAGGACAAAGGCACAGCGATTCTCAAGTAAAGGTGAATGGTGTTAACAGAAAAAGAAAAGGAGAAAAAAGAAACCCACAAAGACAGCAGCTACCTGATATTTTTACCCATGGAGGTAGGAAGTAAGATGGAGTGGTCCTAACCGGTTTTCCCCATACACTGCTTTGAAGCACTGGCTTCGTGGTGATTAAAACACGTCATTTAATCTTTAAGTTCAATGGGTTTTGACATGATCGGATGTAAATATTTTGTAATTATGTTGTGAATATACATATAGATGCATATATTTTCTTTTCCTACAATATTTCAGAGTCCAAAGTATATGAAAAGAATACACTTTTTAAACAACATTTCATTCTAAACGGAATTAAATGTTATACTTTTCACAGAACAGTTTGCTCAGAACGGTTTAATTTGAATGAAATATTTTTACAAGTGTTTGTTAATTACATTAGAAAAAAAATTAAGGTAATTCGATTTTATTTGTCTAAGGATTACAAAATTTATTGTATAATTAATATTAAAATTATGCATTATTAAAATTTTGCATTATTTCTTTTCTATTTAAGAGCTTATTCCTAAAATACTTTCTCAAATATGGCATGATTTTTTTAGCTTATGAGGCATCTTTTAAATTGAAAAATCTAATTTGTAATTCATGCTCTATTCAGTCCATTTCAAATTAGAGCACTTTTTATTTTAATAATGAAATACATTAAATAGTACTTAACTTTCTCTGAATATTTCTGAAAGGGAATAAAAAAAGCATTTTTTTAAAATATTATTTATAACTTATAACTGAGTTATAAAATGTAAGGGGAATAATTCTTTTAATTATACTTATCAGATTTTTTTTACCCTTAATTTCAACAATACATATTCTAAAACTCTTTTTTATTACTTTCTTAAGTACGCATCTCATAGAATTTACTTTACAATACCTTTTAACAGATTGCTTTCCAGTACGAACAATTCTTCCTTAAATAGTTTTATAACATATTTGTCAACAAGATTTCAATTTATGTTTACAATTCAATGTTAATGTTATTATATATTTAGATAAAATTTATAATCATTATAAATTTAGATAAATTTAATAATTAGATTTTCACAGCAACTTTCACAGGTGTTTAATGAATGAATAAATCCTTCACTTCAAATATATTTATAAATAATTTAATAAATATTTACGTATTTTGTTAAAGGCAGATACGTGCTTTTTGCGAGCATATGCATAAATACCCATACATATTTATTAATTTTGACCAGGATTGTAGCATTTTACTTTTTAATTAACTCAAATAAGTAGAACATGTACACCCAAAGTGATTATTTTTAAATTATATAAAAATAAAGTGAACAACTATAAAGCCTTTCCTCTAAAAATTTTTGAAAAGTACATGTCAATAATATGTGAATGACAAAAAAATTATTTTACTTAAAACATTTTGACGCTTGGAACATAAAATAAAAGTAGCGAACACTCTATCAAGGGTATCGAAAGACGTATACAATTTTAAAGGTATTGTAAGGTATTTTTCATTCTTTAAGCATAACATTTTTGCCAAAAATCTATATTTTTGTAGTTCAACATTGCAGAATTTTATAAAATAAATTAATAATCAAAATCATTGTTGTTAACTATCGAAAAATAACCAAGATGTGATTTTTGCATAAATGTCACTAAACTATACAAACTGCTATTATCCATCACACAATGAATGTTTCTTTTATGCAAAAATGTCGCATTTTTCGATTCGTATGGAACTGTCTTATGCCAAAATACTATCGAAGCACTGTCAAGGGAGCTTCTGAATGTAAACAAAAACAGCCTATCTGGAGACCGAAGCTTCAGAGCAGTGCTTCGCTCTTAGTGCCGAGCTGGCTACTCCCTCCTTTCTTACCTTCATGTTTTTACCAAGTGGAATTTCTCTTTTGAGCAATAATATTTTCCACCTTTGACCTCTTCGCTGGTTTCTACTTATGCCATTAGCTTTCCTTTGTAGACATACAGCAAAATTTAATTCAATTTGTCCTATTTTTTACATGGTTAGCTTTACGTTAAATATTCTGCATATGTCAATATTGTGTAAGCATTACATTTAATGAATTCTGCTGTTTTTTTCACTAGGAACTTGCATACAAAGTAATCTTTTAAGCAACCATTTGGCATCTAGGAATGGATTAAAATTCACTTTACATTAATCCTTACACGGAAAACTTTCAATTTACGAATATTTTGGATGATAGAATTATGATAGAATTAATCAAGTTCATGAACCAAGGTTTCACTGTATTAAAGTTTACAATTTTTTCATGGATCTATAAGTACATGCTAGGCAATTCAAGAAAATAAATGGTGTACAATTTTTAACTCTTCAAAGAAAATTACGTTTCTCAAAATCCACAAATTATTGGTGAGTCAATGCATAATACATGCATGAACAAAACTGTTAAATATTAGAAAGACTACATGCTGTGTTTTCGATCATTTCAGTTTTATAATAAAATAAAATACATTTATTAACTAATCACATTATAAACATGCAATTTTGGTGAATAGTTTCGGCAAGTTTTCCCACCATTATATATGTTACAAAATTTACATTACTTCATCTTTAAAATCAAGAAAAGAAACAAAATTTTAGCAAATCTCTGACCAAAACAATATAAATTCAAAGTGGAACAGAATAAAATGATACATCTATTTGTATTCAGATAACTTTAATAAGAAGGAAATGCACATGTGTGAAAACAAAAAGATGCAACATGTGACTGAATTATTAAATTGTACTAACTGTATGTGACCATGAGGTACTGCCATTGAAAGTGATGCAAGAGCTGTGACTGTTTCAACCTCTTCCTTCTCTTTCTGTTGAGCTTCCACAGCCGAATAACCAATGGTATGGGCCCATCGCTTGATGCAAGGCCAATGAGTCGCTGAAAAAGATTTTTAAAAAAATATAAAACGCTTTAAAGCATGTTCCAAATATTTTCTTTTAATACAAAAAACAAATTATTTATTACTTAAGACAAATTAGCTCATGTTGCATTATTTGGAAGGTGAATGAAAAGTGAATGATTGAAATATTCGTGAAGATTTAATACTCATGCTCAGAAGTCCAGAATATTTAATACTTTCAATATGCTAAATTATTCATATTTCAAATAATGTCTGAACACAGTTTAATACAAACTATTGTTTGCATTCTTAAATTATTTCCAGACACAAATTCATTTAAAACTTATTTTGCAAACATTTATGAGAGACAAAAGTAATTAACACAAAATATTCTCTTCCATATTTTCATTATTGAATGGAAGTCTGCGAATGCAAATTTTCACTGCTAGATTTTACTAGTATATACATGAAAGAGAGAAAGTATGAACATCTTTATTTTTTTACAGAAGCTGCTTAAATGTTTACATGGAAAATCCCAGTTTCATGCAATAACTCACACAAAGGTACAAATATTTGGCACACGTCTCTCAGGAATTGTTGATGGAATAATCTTACTCAGTTCTTCAATTTCCAATAGTCCCATATGCAAAAAAATGTCAGCTTTCTCAACATTAGTAAAAGGCTGGATACTATAAGTGCGAACTTATAATATCCAGCCTTTATTACTTACTACATTACTTACGATGAAGGACAAGAGGGGGGGAAAAAAAAAAAAAAAAAAAAAAAAAAAAAAAAAAAAAACAGACTTCCAAGCAACATAACAAGGACCACTAGTAACAAAGGTTTACTTATGTTGGTATCATTCTTTTATTAATAAAAAAAGGGTTATTTACCGTTAAAAAATGTTTAAACCGTTTAAAATAATGATAAAAATTGTGGTTTCATTTTTCAAATTACCATATTGTTTTCAAATAAAGTAAATCTTTACGTTATCTTACATTTTCATTTCATCCCTATTAAAATCAATTTACAATTATACTTGAAAATGAAAATCAAAGAAAATCCTTACATCATAAAACAAATTTAAATCTATATATTTGTTATGATTTTAATACAATATAACAGCAACTGTTTACTTATTTACGTTTATAAATAATTAAATTGATTAAACATCTAAAATATTTGTTAATTTACTTACCATTCTTTATTCAACAATAATTTTATTATTTTTGAAATGGCATAAATACTGACTTAAAACTCTTATAAGCTTAGTTGCAGCACTTGAATTATCTCTGAATACAAATGAAACAACTCTTGCTAATATGAAGTTTAGTTTTCTTAGTAGTAAAAAGTAGTTTAGTTTTCTTAGTAGTTAAAAAGTGAGTGTGTGCATGTATGTGTTCATTACGTTAGTTATATTAGGATTTGAACATGTTGTTTTGTTGAAAGGTCTCAGCCATGTTGATTAGGAAATCAACATAACTAAGACCTTTCTGTTATTTATGCTGCCCGAAAAAGCATTTCTTAACTAACTGAGCAACTTAAATGTAATACAGTACAAAGTCCGTAATCCGCACTTGTCGGAACTTCGGCGATTCCGGATTAGAGGTTTTTCCAAATTATAGATCATCAATTTAAATCTGGTAAGATGGTATGCATAAATTATACAATTAAACTATGAAACCATAATTTATGAAATAAAGAGCAATTATGATCTAAAGGGAATCAAATTAAAAAAAAAAAAAAAAAAGAGCTTAATATTTATTTGTTTACTTTATTAAACATTTCTTTCAATGTAAGTTGTTTAAGTTGCTTCATTTTTTGTGCTAATACTTTCTCTTTAATTCTATAAACAGACATAATTTCTTGTTCAGTTACAAAGTTTCACTGTTCAAGTCCTGTAATTGCTGTGTCGAGAATACCAACTAACTTGTCAATCGAAATTTTTTTGTTTTTAATAACCTCTCTGCCACTTTCTTCACTATTGGAAGCGACACATGCTGCATTATGCGCATGGGTAAAGCAGGAAAAAAAAAAAAAAAAAAGAAAAAAAGGTTTGTGGCTTTGAGATCCGGATTATAGATCATTCCGAATAATGGACGTCTGGATTATGGACTTTGTAGTGTATATGTACTTCTTATTAATTTATAGTTTTATATAATTTTTTAGAATTACCTCTATTTGATATAACTTGAAATGTATCAAATTTAAGTGATTTGTAACACATAATTAAATCTTTCAGACTTGAGTGATCCTTCTAACTAACAGAGTACAAAATCTAAAATCTGGACATCCAATATCCGGATCTATGGTCCATTAGATATTTCCTTCTTTTTTTTAAATTTCTTTTTTTTTCCCTTTACTTCCTCCCTTTCCCCAAAATTTTAAAAATGGAGAATATAACACATTAGACAGGTGTGTCACAAAAGATATTCTTCCCCAGAATAACTGAGATTCCTGTTTCTCATATTCAAACACCTAGTGGCTATGGAATCACTATGGGAAATGACAATCCTCAAGACATATTTTATTGAGTGAGATGTTACTAATACTGTTTTGCTTTTGTTAGCACTATAGTGGGAAGAGAGAGAGAATCAGATTCAGTTGAAATTAAGTTCAGGTAACATAGCAAATTGCACTGTTCCTTACCTAATTTGATTCAGCTTATTATTTTTTCGCAGACTATTATTATTGCAGCTCTCTTAACAAAACTAAAGTCTGAATTTTTGATTATGTCAAAATTACTTTCCAATTCTAGAGCTGCAGCAGGATTTGCAAAGCAAAAGTATATTTGGTATGACTTCTACATGAGCCTTCGTGCAAGAAAAATGGCACTGGTTGGAATTCTAGCTCAAGAAAATGCAATTTCAAAATTAGACAAAACCAAATGCAACCGTATTTTGGCACAGATTTTGAATGCTATAGAAGGTGAAATTTTAAAATTAAAAGAATTTGTAAAGAAATGTAAAAGTAATACATGAAGATGATCTAACATAAATTTTTCATTGTGATAGCAATGCCTCAATCAGCAATCAACTAGCTAATGATGAAAGCCATAGTATGGGTTTTAAAGCAAGAAAATATTATTACCAAGAGTGACGAAAGTGATGCAGAGATTTTTGCTGGCATATTAGTGGGAATTTTTGACACTCCAATAATAATAATAATAAGGAATAATAATAAGTAAGTGAATAGTGGAACTTCCTACCTGAATAAGAAATTATGTTTGTCTATAAAATTAAAGAGAAGTAGCACAAAATGTACAACAGCTTAAAACAATTTCATTATCAACTTCAATCTTGCTTCACACATGTTGGAAACTTTTGAATTAAGGAACACATTAGAATGTCATTTATAATTTTTGAGTGAATTTAAACTGAGAAAATATTTAAAAAATCTGTAAAGAAATTGTAATGAAGCTAAGGAATCTAGTTTCCTCACATCTCGATGATCATTTTTCTGTCAGTAACACTTTTCATATGAAAGGATGCTCCCACTAAATTTTATTGTCATGTATTATTTTTAAAGAAATAATAGAGCAAATATAAAAAAGTGCATGGTAACACTTGACACTACTAGGAGTTCTAAACATATCCTGTTTTAAATACTTTGTGATTTTAATGCTGGAGTTTATGTAATGCAAGTACGAAAAAATGATGTTTAACAAATGAAGTAAAATAGGCAAAAAAAAAAAAAAGTTGTAAAAGTCATCTTACTAAAAAAATTGAGCACTGATATGATGAATTGAGAAAAGACTGAAAAACTTAATGGCAACACTTAACACTGAGTTCAGAATTCTAAACATATGCTGCTTTTAAAAATGTTGTGATTTTCCTGTTGAATTCTATGTACCATAAATGATGTTTAATAAATTATTTTTAACATTATATAAAAAAATAGACAAAAGTGTAGGTCATTTTGTTAAGAAAATTGACATTGATATGTGAATCAAGAAAAGATGGCAAAAATTGAAAATCGTATGGCAACACTTAATGTTCTATTGGGATGCTGCCTTTAAAAATTTCGTGATTTACTGTTGAGTGGTGGTTCTTCAATGTTTAGTTAAAAAAGTAAAAGAATTCGGTTAGCAGAAGTGAGTCTAAGAGCAGATTAGTAACAGCAAGCTCATTAACAACACAAAATCTGAATACTTTCAGACTGAATTTATTTATTTAATTGCGTGTACCCTGGCTTTTATATAACAATCACACAGATATTACATTACATATATTCATTGCAATTATACACTGTTCACCTTTATGTATTTAACATATTCTTTACTTTCACCCACAGGTTATGTGTTACACATAAGTACAAGAAACTAGTGAATGCATAAAAAGTGGCTTACCTTGCACAGCAACAGTTTTTTGAAGAACATCAAATGCTGTTTGGCAAGGCTTCCTTTGCATTTCTTCTTCTTTTATTGGCGTACATTCATCACCTAAAAGAGCTTTAACACACTCCTGAGAACAATCACATATGGCAGGTAGATCATACCTACAAAGAAATAGCACAGATTAATATTTATTACAGTAATTTTTGTCACCATAATTAAAAATAAATAGGATTTAGTTAGTTTTAAATAAACAGTTCGTTATTTTGTAATTTATAGCCGTTTCTGACAGAGAAAGAAAACTAAAATGTATGAATATAAAGAATATTTTATTTAGAAAGATATTTGCCTTTGGCCCAGCATATTTCCAATTCAGATATACTATGTGACAGAACATGGTATGGTGGTCTAAGAAACTGCTTATTGGCAGATCATTCTAAGTTTGATTCTATGCATAATAAACTTCTTCTTCATAATGACATGGTCCAAATGGCAAAGCGAGACCACATATTCAAAGTTATATTTTGCTTGCTTCCAACTGCTGTATGCAATTGAGTTCCATGCTGCAGACATATGGGATATGGAGAATGATGGATGATAGTTGTAGCAATCTCACAGGACTATATTTCTTAAAAGGCGTGCCTCAGATGAAGACATAGGAGAGCAGGTGGTGATGCGTCTCGAGGAGAGGAGAAAGCAGACAGGTGTCGCAAGATTACACTTACTTGGACTTCATATCGTGAGGTATGCGGTAAAACGCTCTCGTAAGTTTCAATTTAGAAATGCTGTAATGTTTACCTATGCGCTTAAGTAATTTGTATCGAATAAATTCTAACTTTATGAAAAAGTTGCTTCTTATTTTATAAAGTTTTATTAAGCTTTCTGATATATTTAGTACTAGTAACTCCCCTAAATTGATGACCCGGTGTCACCCGGTGTCGCAGCACACACATGGACTGAAAATGGGGAATCTTATTCCATCGACGAAGCACGAGGCTTGAATGAACTTTACCTCATCGGAACTTACAAATAGTCAGTTTCTCTTCCGAAATATTCGATTTATTTAATAAAATGGAAAATAACGGCAGAGATCAAGCCACTGAAAATATAGCACATGTGGCGGTGAAAGCTCCTCCCTTCTGGCGAGCAAATCTGGAAATCTGGTTCCGGCAGATGGAAAGCCAGTTCGCGTTGGCCGGTGTAACAGTGGAGTGTACGAAATTTCACCACGTAATTTCCGCTTTACAACCTGAGGAGTTAGCGGTTGTTGGAGACATTATTCTTAATCCTCCAGCCGAGGCACCATATACAGCAATCAAAAACCGTCTGTGTACGCAATATGCAGATACAGAAGAACAGTGGCTCCGAGACCTCGTTTCCGTAATGCAGTTTGGCGACAAAAAACCGTCATGCCTCTTACTGGAGATGCGAAGTAAGGCTGGCTCACGAATGAGTGAGGATCTTCTTAAATCGCTTTTCTTGCAATGTCTGCCGACGCATGCATAACAGATTTTAGCCAATTCCAGTGACAAGTTAGACAAGCTACCTGAGATGGCCGATGGTATCATGGCACCCACCGGAAACAGTGTTTCAGTGTTTGAAGTAAAAATGGAAGACTCTGCGCTAAAAGAATTATTAATGGATATTTCATCTCACCTTTCTCGGATGGAAACACGTTCTAGATCGCGTTCAACCGAACGAGAGAAGCAGAATAAAAGAGACCGTTCATTAAGCCGCCAACAACAAAATAATAGAGAGCACTGCTGGTATCATCAGCGTTTCAAAGAAAAAGCTAACAAGTGCACAAAACCCTGTACCTTCCAGGCGGAAAACTAGTGCCACCATCACTCGACTCTTCGGGTGATGGCAGAACTGAGATTTATCGTTTATACCTTTCAGATAAATCCACAGCATCAAAGTATCTGATTGATATGGGAGCAGATGTCTCAGTAGTTCCGCCCACAATTACGAAGCGCTATCAGCCACCCGCCAAGCGTCAACGTTTTGCTGCAAATGGGACTACAATACCTACTTTTGGACAAAAACTCATTAAATTGGACTTATCTTTACTTAGGGAATTTCATTGGCCGTTTGTTATCGCTGCAGTTTCTCAACCTATTATTGGAGCTGATTTCATTCGTCACTTTGGATTACTGGTCGATATTCCTCAAGGATGTTTGGTGGATCCACTTACCCAACTATGTTCCAAAGGAACTGTGACTACAAAAGATATAATTCACATCAAGGCACTGAAAGGAGATACTAAATTTCACCAACTGCTTGCCAAATTTCCAGCGCTTACAGAAGCTAGTTCAATGCCACGAAAAATCAAACACGATATTACTCACTGTATTGAGACTAGAGGCCCACCTGTGTTTTCACGGCCGTGCAGACTTTCAGCTGATACGCTTAAAGCAGCCAAACAACAATTCCAGTACCTAGTTGAAACCGGAATCTGCAGACCCTCCAAAAGCTGCTGGTCATCTCTTCTGCACATGGTGACCAAAAGCAATGGAGATTGAAGACCATGTGGGGATTATAGGAAATTAAATAGTGTCACCATTCCAGATCGGTATCCTGTTCCTCACATACAGGACTGTCTTCAAGTGTTAGATGGGAAGCAGATATTTTCAACTCTGGATTTGGAAAAAGCTTACCATCAGATTCCCGTGCGAGAAGAAGATGTGCCAAAAACAGCCGTTTCTACACCATTCGGTCTTTTCGAATATTTATTCATGCCATTCGGGTTATCGAATGCTGCGGCTACATTCCAGAGGTTTATTCATCACGTTCTCAGCAGACTGGACTTTTGTGTACCATACTTTGATAATGTATTGTAGCATCTGAAAATGACACCCAGCACCTGCAACATCTTAAGATGGTGTTCAGCGATTCACAGATTATGGTGTAGTACTAAATGCAGCTAAATGTGTCTTGGGTAAATCAACTGTGAAATTTCTAGGTCATATGATAACACCCGAGGGTATCACTCCTTTGCCAGAGAAAGTTTCAGCAATTGTGAATTTCCCCAAACCAGAAACCGTGAAAGAACTTTGGCGTTTTCTGGCTATGTGCAACTTTTACCATCGTTTTATTCCGCAAGCTGCAAAAACTCAAGCAATACTCAATACATACCTAAAGGGAGCAACGAAAAACGATAAAAGACCAATCGAATGGACAGAAGTAACCACAAATGCATTTCAGAAATGCAAGAAAGACCTGTCAGATGCAACGATATTGTACCATCCTTCATCAGAGGCCCCACTTGCAATTGTAGTTGATGCTTCTGATACAGCTATGGGTGCAGCTTTCACCAACAAGTTGAAAAAGGATGGCAACCTCTTGCTTTTTACTCAAAAAAATTATCTCCAACACAACAGAGATACAGTGCATACGATAGAGAGCTCCTCGTGTCATATATGGCCATAAAGCACTTTCGACATATGGTCGAAGGACGTAACTTCATTTTATTCACAGACCACAAACCGCTTACATTTGCATTTCGGCAAAAAGAAGATAAATGCTCTCCACGACAACTAAGACAACTGGACTTTATCAGCCAATTTACGACTGATATTCGCTACTTAAAAGGTTCCGACAATGAGGTAGCGGATGCACTGTCTCGGATTCATATAGCTACTATTAGCACACCTTCTGCTATTGACTACTACCAGCTTGCCAAGGAGCAGGAAAATGATGCAGAATTGCAAAATACTTTATCAGGAAATTCGACTACCTCCTTAGTGCTGAAGCCCCTCCCTATTGGTCAGTCTCCAGTTATTCTGCATTGTGATATCTCCACTGGTCGCATTCGCCCTTTCGTTCCACAGTCATTTCGTCGAGCAGTGTTTAGCAGCCTTCACTCTCTCTCACACCCAGGAGTAAAAGCCTCAGTAAAGCTGATCGACGAAAGATATATTTGGCCTTCAGTGAAAGCGGATGTCGCATCTTGGGCTCGTGAGTGCTTACAGTGTCAGAAATCTAAAGTGACACGCCATACCAAAAGTAAAATTGGTGTTTTTGTGCCACCCAGTGCTAGATTTGAACACATGCACATTGACCTCGTAGGACCTCTCCCTCCATCTGAAGGCTTTCGATACTGTCTCACATGTGTGAATCGTTTTTCTAAATGGCCAGAGACATTTCCGTTAGCAGATATATCCGCACAGACTGTTGCAGCTGCCTTCTACTCAGGTTGGATCTCCAAATTCGGATCCCCACTCTGGCTAACTACCGATCAGGGAAGGCAGTTTGAATCATCACTCTTCGATGCACTAACAAAGTTCCTGGGCACAGCTCGACACCGCACATCTCCATACCATCCGTCTGCAAATGGCCAAGTTGAAAGATTTCACAGGCAGCTGAAATCTGCAATCATGGTACACAGCAATAATCAGTGGACTGCTGTATTGTCTACAATTTTATTAGAATTCAGAGCCACTTGGAAAGATGATCTGCAAGCAACCACAGCAGAAATGGTATACGGAACTCCAATTCGCCTCCCAGGAGAATTCCTGTGCCCTACTCCTGAAACCCCAGATCCAGTGACTTCTGTTGGAAAGCTTCGCGAATCTATGCAACGCCTCCTACCTCTTGCAAATCAACCTCACAGCAAGCAAGCGGTATTCGTCAGCAAAGACTTAACCACCTGCAGTCATGTTTTTCTTTGAATGTATGTAGTGAAAAGAAGCTTTCAGCAGCCTTATGAAGTGCTCAGTCGAGGCGACAAAGTTGTTACAATTTCCATACGGGGAAAAGCTAAAACAGTAAGCATCGGTAGGATTAAACCAGCATATGTCACAAGAAAAGATACTGAAGACTCAGCGCCTGCAAACAATCGCAGAACTTCCCTCCCAGCAACAGAGAATTCACCAGCAAAATCGGAGATTCCTATGCTGCCAACAGCTATTCCTGCACCGAACTGTGAATCACCGGTAATGGTAACTCGCTCAGGCCGACACGTACACTTCAGTCCCCGGCATAGCTAAAATCTCGCTATTGCTGGTGGGGGGCTGCCTGTAGCGATCTCACAGGACTATATTTCTTAAAAGCCGTGCCTCGGATGAAGACATAGGAGAGCAGGTGGTGATGCGTCTCGAGGAGAGGAAAAAGCAGACAGGGGTCGCCAGATTACACTTACTTGGACTTGATGTCGTGAGGTATG